AACGTCGGTATTTCAATACACTCGGGATTTCGATAGACGGGTTTTCGGTTGTCGGGCTTGCGATTTCCACTGTTGACAATATCTGCATTTCAAAAAGTCCAAATGGTTCCGATTGATTTCGAATTCCGAAATATCTTCTTCTCTCCTAGCGTGACAATGTGGATTGTACCAACTGGTCACACATATTTCCAAACTTTTGTTCAGACATGCACTTGTGCATTTTTGCACAATAGAAAACCAAAGAATAAAGATAAATTTATATGAAAATCAAAATCGTTATCCTTATTTTCGGAAATTCTGGAATGGATTATACTTGTTAAGGTTCCACTCTATTTGTGAAGTAATTCTGTCACAAAAAAGCAGTGATAAAATTTGTGCGTGTGGATATTTAATGCATGGTGAAAGAAAGAAACCTGGAGGACGTTTTCTATTGGTGCTGCGAGAAAATAAAAGCAACGATCTGCAAGGGCATAGTGGCTACTGGTGACTACAATACTTCGGAATCGACAACATCATATTCGTAAGTTTGTCGATCACAATCATGCACCTCAAGCAAGTTCTGCTACAGTTGCCCAAATTATTAGAAATATAAAAAATAAAACAATCAAATAGTACAAACTCTTCAAGCAAGATCCAAATCACCGAAAGATTCAAATATGCCAAATAATTCAAAGAAAAAGACACGCAGAGAGGCCTCAGAACCATAATTTTTAAACGATATAAACATATCCGACAATTTAAAAAAAAAACATTTTAAATGAAAATTTGTTCTTATTAAGAGATATGTCTGTCGGAGAAGGAAGAATACTCCTATTTACAACAAGCGAAAAGGTACAACACATATTGCAAGCAATTGCTACAATTAATGGTACTTTTAAAACCGTTCCAACAGTTTTCCATCAACTCTATTTTGCGTATTTTGCCTTTAGTGTATGCGCCAATGACGCATAAACCGGCAGAAATGTGCAGGAGATTGTTTGAAGCTTTTGCGGACGAAAATGGCATAACCATCTAAAATATTAACTTATTTGGATCTAAATATGTTTTTATTCGCCTCGGGCAATGTGGTTGGATAAAAAAATTCAAACAAGTGGATTGGCGTTGAGGTACGTCAACATGGAATTTAGTCTGTGGCTGCGGCATATGTTTGCGTTTCTTCCAGCAGCTTATGAAATTTTGCGAATTCATTTGCCACCAGATGATAAGAAGTCACATAAATGGAATACCCATTCGAGGCGCAACATTAATCCATCCAGCTTTATAGTCAATTTTCTATTCAGTGAAGCAGGGAATTATATGCACACAAAATATCGTTGAAGCATGGCATCGCACATGGGATATCTTATTACGTCGGGTGCACGTTGAATTGCACAGAATTATTGAAGAATTTCAAAGAGAAGTACAAGTCGAAATTCACATCGAATGCATTCTTCGTGGAGTCAACCTGTGAAGACAAAACGAAGGGATGTCGAACGAGAAAACAGAATCTTGACTGTTATAAATGAACGACAAAATAGAACAATCTTTGGGGAATAAACTGGTGTTTTATTATAATTTTTTTTTCATTTAAGTTTTTGTTCTCAATTCTTAACTGTGTACCTTATGTATGTATATATATTATAGGTAATTTCAAAATTCTATGCTCGATTTTTTTATTTCTAGAATACAACCTAATTATGCAAATTAATACGGCAATTGGCATATTGACAAAGTTCCCTGTATTAGAGACAGAATTGCTAAAATGTTCGCGATTTTCAGTGTGAGGATTTCGAATGTCGGGAGTTTGATTGTCTAGATTTCGTTTTAGACCCATTATTATAAATTTTGAACAACGAAATAAAATCTTTCTATTTATATAAAAAAATACTTATTTTTAATATTAAATTCTGATAATTAACTAATTGAATAAAGTTTTTGAATTTATTATTTATATGACAGTAACGCATGCTTTTTTTCTCGTCATTTTCAACAATATTCATTGGAACATCTTTTATCATATAGAAATATTTCACACATTACTGGGAATCACATACAAATTTTAAATATTATGCATATTCATACATGACACAACCCAGCAAATATGTGTGAAATTTGTGTGGAAATCAAATAATTACTACTTAATATTACGTAGCATACTATTATTATTAAATTATTATAGACATTGAAATGTTTTTTTTTATAATTTATTAAATGACAATAAAAATTTGTAACAAACAATGTAAGTATTAACAATTTTATAATAAATTATATTATAATTTCCATTGTACCAAATCTATATTGGCGGCTTTTTGTATTACGTATTAAAACTCTATTAATTCCTAAAAGAGTCATACTATGAAACGCCCCGATTGCAATATATCCAATAGCGACACTTTTGCCGCAAAAATAAGAAAATTGTCCCTTTGTAACAAATCCCATAATTTCACGATCGCATGTCGTCCTTATTCCATTGTCAACAGTGGGCAACCACAGTTCCCGCATCTGCTTCTGGTAATTCTTTAATACTTCCATATCAATTTCGATTTTCTAAAACAAACATGAAAAAAACAAATAATTTTATATTTCAATTTCAAATTTAAGAATTTACTTTTCCAGTTTGTCTTGCAAGATGCCTCTTCCTCTTTAATTTCATCAACAGTGTTCGATGGGAACGCCTTAGACGTTTTCGTTTTTCTTCATTTTCATCTTTCCTACTTTTCTCAATAGGTTCTTTCTTATGTTTAATATCTTCCTTGGTTGGCATACAAATTATTGAATACCTCGGAAATATACCCTTCCTTACTGTTACTTTCACAGGTATTAAGTAATTTTTATTAAATATATCCTTAAGAAGAACGTTCTTCGTATGTCCAAATTGTAACGATTCCTAAATCAAATAATTTTATATAAAATGAATACAAATTATCATGAGGTGATACATACCTGTAATGCTTGCAGAATAGTATGATCCCTAAGCACAGAAAACCCTTGAGTCTCGAAACCCCAATCGCGACATATAATTTCCCAATTGCAACTGAATGGACTCGCTATTGAAAATTTGTTGTAATTACAACGTTTGTTCGGTGGTAAGCGGAAAAACTTTTTCGTGTGCAGCTCTGCCAATTCGGTCTCATATAATTTACCCGCTGCTGAATCTGGTTCCAAATAATCAGCTCTACCAAACTCAAAGTTAATTTGTTCGGTTTCTCTTAAACCTCCAGCTCTACCACCCCACATTAAAAATCCAAGCCAGAAAGGTTGAGCCCAGCCTGACGGTATAACAACGTCCCATCCAGATCCATAATCTTAAAAATAAATACATTTATTACAATACATATTCAAAAATTGATTAAGTAAACTCACTTGTAACACCCTGTTTTTGTATAAGCATAACCGGAATCGGAGCTGGTGGACGTTCAATTTCCGAACCGGGTACCAAAAGCAAGCTCTGCAATTCAGTAATCTCCGCGTTTGATATTTTACTTGATTTCACTTCCGCACGAATCTCAGAATCCCAAATTGGACCGACATTTAAATTCGCTGGTAGGTCTATGTTCAAATTAGTTTTGGAAAACTTGGTAATAGCTTTAGTTCTTTTGTTGGGATATAGATATCTTGGATCCCTTACTACTAGAGATGTTATTATTCTAGGAGATAACAAGGAAGGAGAATTAAGGTCCTTTACATTTTGCCAAAAGCGTACTTGCTCTGCAAATAGCTGTCTGCACTCAGCATCTTCTAAATATTCCTTGAACCATTCACTACTGTGATTTGCAGAATTAATTGGTTGCAATGACTTTTCTAAGATCGCTTGGGATAGCGGCCCAGTCAATCGAATTCTGGTTAGTTCGTGTCTTAATTCTCTTAATTCTACTTTGAGAAGGTCGTTATACAAAATATTGTCTTTCTTCTTTAAATTAAATAAATCAATTATTGTATCTAAAGCTTCTTGGTAGTAAGCAGCATGGATCCATAGCCATAGTGTATCAATTTTTGTGATGTTGTTAATTTTCCAGTTGAAACTTATCTTCCCAATGGGTTTTGAACTAGAATTTGTAAATAATGTTATGTCACCTTCTCTCTTTCCACTTATGTATACTCTAGCTCCAATGCTTAATTTCTCATCCCTAGATGTAATATTTCTTAAATAGTTAATTAATGTCTCCTTTGAACCTTGCAATTCTATGCATGACATATATGAGATATCTTGAATTAAACAATGTTTAGCTGTTGCTCTGTAGCATGCTCTAAAAGATTTATCGCATGGCCTATCTGGTAATCTGTATCCCCATTTATTTACCATGTGAAATCTCTTAGCATGCCATATATGGGTTTCTAACCACATATTTTGCCTTTGCCTCCTTAAATATTCTTCCATTAGATTTTTTGGCCTTCTTCTATACTTACGAGAAGGCCTCTTCAATTTAGGAGGCATACCAGACTTTATCATTTGGTTCATATGAATTTCTCTTACCCTTCTTGGCAATCTCTTAACATCATGAGCCATCACTCTTCTCCTCATATGTTTGGGTAGTTTCTGGAATGCTAACTTGCATCCCTTATTTGTTTTCAGGGATTCTTTGATTGATTGGATCTCCAAACTTCGAGCTGCTGAGAATTTCATTAATTGCAGAAAATTAGGCAGCTCTTGTGAGCCACCCAAAGTATTATCATATTGCGATTCCTTATGCATTTTGCACTAAAATTCTGTAAATATAATTCAACACATTAGGAAAATTTCAAACTTACAATAACATAACCTACTTATAGCACAAGTTCATACATGAATATTTAAATTTAGTTTTCAACTTCTTTTATAGATGCCACTATACGTGGATTTAAATTAAATGATAATGAAACTACCCAAATTACTGGATTGTAAGAAAAATAAATGTTGTCTAAATTATTTTAAGGAAACTTACGAAAAGTAAAGTTAAGCTAGAATAAATATTATTTGTTCTCTTTGACACCCCTCCGTTCACTTGGATCTTCTCAATCTGCTTAACCACAAAACAAGAGCATTATGAATGTTCTGTTGGTTTGAAAGTTTTATAACTCACTGCCATCTCGTTTATAACGTGTGGTACCAATACTTCCACCCTTACTAACTTATTGAAGGATGGAAAGGGTGGATGTAAGTATGCAACTAAGTGTACACATGATGTTTGTTTCAACGTGATCAAAATATAACCAAAAATAACTTAACATAACCTTAAAATCAATTTGGTAAACATGAAGGGTACTCTAGGTAAAGATGAAATTAAGGAATTATCTAAAGAAGAAACTTCAAAAATTGCCTTGTCGAGGTCTAATTATCATGTGATATTAAATTCCTCACAATTAGGAAATATTTTAAAGTCAGTGCTGGAGTATTTACAATTTAAAAAAAAAGAGTTGAACACATGGTAAACATTTTTAAAATACTAATATTTTTATTTAAGTAACTTATATTACGATTTGTTTTAGGTTTAAAGGATATGTATTGCATTATGACAATATAAAAGTTTTGGACAAGGTTGCACCAATAAGCTATGATAACTGCATCCACATTAATATTGCAGGTGATTTTTATATATTCTCACCTGAAATTGGAGATGAATTTGAGGTGGTTGTTGTGCAGAAAAATTTGCATTATATCAATTGTCTGCTGTATGGAAGTGTACATGTAGGTGTAATACATAAAAACTCAAGTAATATCCAAGTAGGTGATATTATAAAAGTAAAAGTATCACAAAAAGAAGCAAAGTTATATTTGAATGCAGAATTTATGTAAGTATTATAGGATTAATAATATATTAAGTGATAATATTATTTATTTATTATTGAAGTTTAATTATTCTTGATAAATTGACAATTATTAATTTAATTTTTAATTTGGTAAATATTTTTTAATATCTTTTGATTAAATGTGATATTTCAGATGTAAATGCGAAAAAGTTGCTACAGAAACGTTTGATGATGTTAAAGAAGGAATCATTAAAGAGGAACCATTGAATAAGTCTATAAAATTTGAAGATGACGAAGTATGCATTAAAAATGAACCGGAAGAAGTAAAAATTGAAGAAGAAAAAATAATCGATTCAACGGATTCGGTTTCTAGTGGATTGAAGAAATCTAAACGTAAACGACAGTGTAATGACTCAGATTCTTCGGAAAACGGTGTGAAGTCAAAAGAAGATGTCGAACAGAATTTAGAAATTCTGAGTAAACCCAAAAAACACAAACATAAAAAATCGAAAGAAAGTGTTAGTTAATAAATTATTACTGTTATAGATTTTTTTGATTTATTTATTATAACATCACAGATAAATATAGAATTATACTATTTAGACAGTGAACATTTAAGATCAGTTTAATTCTCTCAAGGTAACGGCCACGGTAACCCTGTGAAATCTACAGGACCTCCAAGGCCTGCGTCTGCTTCAAGCAAGCTCATTATGACTGCCATCGCCGCTTCATCGTTACCATCTGTTGATGGTTCGTTCGTTGGTTCCCTAGCTGCATCCTCAATTATTCCGATGATTCTATCATCTGCAGTATTTGAAATATTTCCAGCTCCTGAAATTAAGTTTTAATTAACATTCAAAGATACTTATCAATTTAAATACAAAATCCACCTGCGTCATTACTAATATTACACACCACTGCAATGTTATTGCTCGTATGATAATGATTTTGAGAATTGGAATACTCTTGTATTATTGGTGTCTCGGATTCTCTACTAGTAGAGATTTGTGGCTGTAAAGATGCAATAATTAGTATTCATCATTATTCAGTGTATAATTTTATAGAATACTTCTCTAGAAGATTCTGCTTCGGAATCGGCACTAACTGTTGGAGATTCACCTCTCCTTTGGGAATCCATCATTTGGTCTGCAATCTGCCTTCCAATTTTACTGGCCTCAATATGATTTGAAATCATCTGCTGCATATCCTTTCCATTAGCTATGAATATTACGTTAGAATAATTGTTATTATATAGACGTGTTGCTTACTTTGCGTAAAAAAATTTGCATCGAAATTTTCTTGAATTTCATCTGATTTGCCCGTACTTTCTACAGTTCTGAAATCAGTCCTAAAAATAAACTTGATTTTAATAAGAAAATTAATGTGATAGCTTTAAATTACAATATTAAATTATTTTTGGAAATCAAGTATTCCACTTCTTTAGTCCAAGGATTCTTAAAGGGTTTCCATTCGCTTTGGAGCTTGATGAAACTACCATCCTTTGTTCGGAACCTATATACGCTAGTAGTAACTTTTTCGCAGTTCTGCAAAGCGTTCTTGTGGTAGTCCGCTACGAAGCTTATATCATCGTGATGGTAATACTCGTACATACTAGTCCCTAACAATTCCTGAGGTAGAAAACCTAATACTAAGGTGGCTCTTTGGTCTACAAATAAAAACTTTCCATCTAGGGCATGTCTGGATATGAATTGGATGGACCTGCCGTTAGGTCTACTTTGGTTGGTAGCGGCTACGGTTGAAATATGGGGCAAAATCCTGCCAATTGCTACGAGACACGATAAGTTATAGGAATCGCCTTCGCCCTCTTGTTCTTCCAAACCGATCTTTGCCGGCGCCCAAGACTTTAAGTATCCCGTACACTGAATCACATTATATTTCTTATCTAAATTATAAAAATAATACAAAGATGATTAGAAATCCAATACGTAATAATTTATTAAATTACCAGATGACTGTTTGTTTTTTATTCTATGGCATCCTGTTGTAGTATCAGCTTCTTCTTTGACTTGAGTAGATAGTTTGCACTTCATTCTGCAGAAAAAGGAACGTCTAGCACCGGGACAGAGTCTTGATGCTCCTTGAGGAACATCTGTTTTAACTGGCAACATTGCTAAAATTATAAATATTTGAAAAATATATACAAAATATTTAAGTAAATAAATATGTTTTTGTTGTTAATGTATGTCAAGAAACTAATTCTAAAGGTAATAGAATGGATTGATGTAACAACTCTACCTTACTTATTTAATGTCGTGTTTTCTTACATTCATGAAAAATTCTGCAAAATACTGAAGCTTTAATATTAGAACAACTTAAAACACGAGATAATGGGGAGATTTAACAACAAGAATGTTTCACGAAATAGTTTGCTTTCTAAGATAAATAATTGTATTTAGAATCTAGCCTCATAATAACTGACAGATGCGAATAAATAAATTAGCCATATAACTTAACTGCTCCAAACTTCTTCCTGTGCGGGTATTTAGAAAAAAGTGTATACCGTAAACATCCTCGGACCATTCATCAAGTAAAGAAATTGAAGGATTAAGCCAATAAACAAAACGACATATTTACACACGCAAAATTATGGCTATTATAATGTAATTTCAAAACCAAATGAAATGTATTTCAAAGGAATGTTTATAAACGCATAATTGAAAAAGTTCTTCTATTTTAAAATGTTTTAGTGAATTATGGGACACCCTGTATAATTGTTTTTCTATGAACTGTAATGTAAAGGATTTTTTTTCATGTTAGCTTTGTTACTTACTTTTGGCATCAATGAGTCTTTCTCTAGGATTTAAATCAGACGACGATAATTGCTCTTTAACTTTTGCCACATCCTTCGGATGTAAAATGTCAAAGAGACTTTGACCCAAAAGATCATCCTAGTAAGATATAATAAACAAGATTTAAAGTACTCGTCTTAATTAATTGAATTACCTGAGAATAATGCAATACTTTAGAGACTGACTCGGATAAGTATAGAATTCTTCCCCGGTCGCATCCTACAACGAAGAGAAATCCATCGGTAGCCTGTAAGAAAACGCGTTCATTTACCAATTGCAATTAAGATCAATAATGAAATATCATAATTTAATTGTCCTTGTAAAAGTAACAGAACTTTCTAGAATTACAATAAATTTCTTTTAGTAACCTGCAATATCAAATGTTTCAATTCCTGATCAGAAAGGAACGATGGCTTGTAATGGCCTTCCGTGTACGAGTGGACAGCCCCGCGTATAGTTTTCAAATGTTGGACGGCCATCCTTAATATGGTCAGTTTGTCCAGTTTGCGGGACATCGCATGGCACATAGGTACGATCGAGGACAGCTCAGTTATGTAGGTGTTCATCTTATCTCGCCTCCTCTTCTCGATTTCGCTATGGTTCTGCCTGTCGAGAGTATAAATCGTTATAAAATGTATTAAATAATAATGCAATAATTGCCAAGGCGTAATGGAGCTAACGGTAAATGGCATTCTTTTGAATAGCACAGTTAACCTTCCTGCAAATCGCACCAATAACATATATTTATGGATACCACTTTCATTTCATTTTCTAATATAATAGTAATGTGGGTGCGCTTGGAAAAGTGCGCGATTGCAAATACATAATAACCTAGTCCTAGAAAATATCATTCATCGGCTGGAGCCTTGAACCAGCCACCGTAATACCTTGCTTTGGCTTCCTAGTCTTATTACCGCTTCAGTATTTACCTTGCTTACATAACACACTCTCTCTCCATATATATATGCATTGCATATTTATTCTGATCGTATAACGGTACATTAAGGAAAAAACATTATTGGAATATCTTATCGTCTTCATCATGCAATTAAAATAGATTCCTTTAATGTTAAAACATCATATAATTTATACAGTTATAATTTTTACAACCAAGTTGTTTCTCATACCACAAACGAAATGTTCTTTAATAATTGATGATTTCCTCTTTTACTGATTTATTAACAGAAATAATATAATATAGATGGATAGAATTTATACATGCATATAATAAATTATATATATGTTTCTTAAAAATATTTTGAAAAGTTAGCACGAAAACTATATGAAGTAAATTGTTGTTCTTGCCTCTTCTTTATATTATTAAATATCAAATCAAGGGGAGAACTAAGGCTCGAAGTATAATAAAGAAATATATTTTTATGATAGAACACTAAACACACATAGCTAACAAATTTCATAAAATAGTATATATTTCCCAATTTTAAACTAAATGGTTCCAAAAACGTGAATAGTGTGCGATGTGCTGAGATACACTGATGTACCGTCAGCTGTATTAGTTACGTTTGCCGCCAACATTTTTAAAGATCATTAATTAAATTAATAATAATAATAATTTATTGGCCAGATATCAATACAAAAAAAAGGATTTTCTATAAATAAATAAATGATAATAACAATAAAAAAAACTATACAATAATATAACTCTCAAAATAAATAGATTCTAACATAAATTGAAAAAAATATTAATAGGCTGGCCAAAGGGCTAACGACTGAGGTCTTTCCGCCCAAATTAAATTATTTTCCAAAAAAGTTCCAAATATTAATATGTTTGCAAGAAAATGTTTAAATTTGTTTCATTTTTCAAATAAAAATTTCTATTTTAATATAATTAGTTATGTAATAACATTTAAGCAGGTTTGGATTAAAAGATCTAACACTGAATATCTATAATAATTATCTTTATGTATTTATGTTGTTTACTTTTTGTATTGTCTATAATTATTACAATAAATATTGTTTATGTTTTTGGTGAGCGTAATGTGAAATTGGCAAACATTAAGCCAAACATAAAAAAAACGACTAATATTATGAATTATACCATTTCATGACTTATTTAATTATTGATAAGCATTTGTATGCTCGGGTGTACCTTGTATCATTTGATACATCTTCAAAAAATAATAATTCTCTTATCATCGCTTCATCTTCAAAATGAAAATCGGTAAGTGTATATATTTACCGATATATGTACACATTTATCAGATTGGTTGGTAAAAATGAGATCAGCTTCAACTTGTCAGCTTGTCCAAAGTATATATGCAAAAGTTAAAAAAAATATGATACACTTATTGTGATTGAAATAATTTATTCTGACACATAGTAAATTTCTACGATCTGTTTTACCTTTATCTACATCAGGTATCGGTATTTTCTATTTCAGCAGAAATTTAAAAATTGCAAAAATGCAAAAACAAGCATTTTAACAGCTTGGTTTTCCAAATTTTCTTTTCCTTGTATGCTTTTATTACATGCAAACATGTATGTTAACTACACATTTACCAACATCATTAGGTGTATATGTACAAATTTTCCGGAAATTGTGAAAGTTGAACACACTTTTATCAACGAAGTTGGTAAATGTAGAAACGTTAGAAACGTTATCTATCTACGTACATTTACTGTAACATATATACTGTACAAAATGCATTACATTCCAATTTTTATAAATTATATATTTAATCTTGTATGCAATTGTTAATAATAAAACACATACAATGAATTTAACCATTTTCTTAAATTTGTATTATAACTCAATTGAGATAAAATTGTGATGTATCATTTGATTTGAATAGTTTAGATTAAAAAAAAAACTTTACTTTATAGTGTTAATCAAAACTTACGATGGTAATTATTTATTAATTATACGTGCAAATAAATTAAAGCTTTTTTTGTTGAATAATATGTTCATACGTATGTTGTCTCTAGTTAATACAAGTAATTATTTCATAGATTAAAAAATGACTATATGATTTTCTAGAAATTGTAAGTTTGAAATGTAAATTAATAAGTGTATAAGTTGTAAATTACTGGATAAAAGCTAGTGTTAATTATTACGTGAGACACATTACATATCTTTAATATTGTTATTAGTATTGTGTAATAATAATAATTTATATGTAAATAGATGGAAATGAAATTTTTAACAAATCGTTATGAAGCTTTTAATTATTGTCAACAGGCCACATGATGTTTATAAGTTTAGAAACAAATTTTGCGTATACTAGATAAATGGATTATCGAATCTATTTGCATATTTAGAGTAATTATATAGATGTTAAAACTTCTTCTTATTTTCTTCCCTCCGCAATACATTTGGCCGGCGTCTGTCGACGAAAAAAAAACACTTTTTTTTTGAAATTTTTAGTTATTGATTTTGTACAGATTTCAAGGGAAATATTCGTTTTTTTGCAGATTTTGAGGTCTTATAGTCATAGTTAAAGTAGATGTTCGAGGCTACGAGACTAGTGATTGTGAACCAAGCAATAAAATATCAAGTTGTTTAATAAAAATAGTATTGTTGTATACTTACTTTTTATTTTCATCAGTGGTTTTTACTGATTTTGAATCATCGAATGCATCATCATCTACATCACTTGTTTCGCTGCAAACATAAAACATTTTATTATAAAATTTCAATCAGTGTTTTTTTTATAGATTTTGAATTATAAAATGTATTATCATCTAAATCACAAAAAATAAGTGTTATTAAGGAAAAGAAAATATACTTTTTAGTTTCAATATTTAATAATCGAAATACAAATTGATTAAATCATATTTTTTTTTATTTTGTTTACTAAAATATTAGTTAATTTTAATTTCATGTAGGTTTTGCTTTATTTCGATGTATATTTGCAGACAGACATAACAAATATGATGAATACAATCTCAATTTAGTAAGTCTAAATCAATTATACAATTAAAAGTTTTTTATATTTATATAAACTTAATAATTAAATGAAAACTAAGAATAATGTTGCATTCTTATTTTACCTTACTTTAAAAAAAATATGCAGGAATTGAAACTCAATGAGTTTTTAAATAAGAAAAGTCACCAAGTTATGTAAAGCATTCAAGCCGAATTCATACAAAGTAAACGAACTTGGACATTGGCTTGTGTTTGCGTTAAGGTATGTTTCTCTTTGTGGGATTTATATACGGTTTCTTAGACACGGTTTGAATCAAATGGTTAGTGTTAATTAACGGGCGTCATACAAATCGAATATGTATTAATACACGAAACTTTGTTTAATACGCGAGGTGCGAAAATCTTAGATTGGCTTGGGAGCAAAGCTACTTGCCACTACTAGGGATTCATGTCTAATTGGTTTCCCTCTATTTCAAAACGCCAGATCCCTTATACACACAATTCACACAATCCCAGGGCCGCACTAGTTTCTACAGGCAGCAAAATGTACGCGAAAACGTAAACATTGCAATTTAAAGCATGCAATTCAATTAGCCTTTTAATTGACGCAACTGCGCATAGGTCAGAGAAATTCAATAACTTCCGTATTTGTTGCAACGCATTATGTATTTATTGTAATAGATTTACAGTTATGATATTATTATTTCGACGTTCACTGTGATTATAAATATCTGACGTAAACAATTTTAATAGTGAATAATTTGAATGAAATCTAAATTCTTATTTAAAGTATACATTTATATTATTTCACTGAAAATAAGTTAAAAATAAATGATATATTAAAATCCATTCATAATGTTCGACAACTTGATAAAATATATGGTGTACTTGATACTCGAGATTATTTATCGTTACAAGACAAATATCAAGACTAGATATTACGGACTTTAATTGATTTTTGTACTTAAAACATATTTGTTTTATTGTCATAAATTATCTTATTTTCTATAGAAAATTAGAATCAGTACTCATTTCATTACTTCAAAAAATAAAATCTATTTTTCCCCTAATATAAAACGAGTCTGTTGAATCAATTGGGTCATTTGGTCCTTGCGCAAAATCAATACATAAATGCCGATCATTGAATTTGAAAACGTATTTATTTATTAATGACTATGCAATCAATTTAAATAGTGATAACGATTTATATGTCTAATTCAGAAGTCAAAATATATTTATTTACGTCGACGTTTCATGAATAACATCACAATTTGAGCATTTTGATGTCAGAGCAATATGGATACTGTCTCCGGAGTAAAACACATTTACAATATTTAAATAGCTTAATGTCCTTATTACCTCAAATAAATTATTTTTTACCCCATTTGTGGAAATTTACTGTAGTTCGCAGAATATATCTTTCTCTCTACTATTTAACATTTCTTATACAGTGGAACCTCGCATAACGAGCATTTTGCTTAAGAAAAGAAAGAAAAATTACTTAACGAGCGATGTTTCGCATAACGAGCGACGATTAGAACTGCTACATCATTTTTAAAACTTGTGTACACATATTATGTTTATTTTTGAATATGTTTCACTATACGATTAAAAATCTGGAAATATTATTAAACAGTGTATACAAATGTCTGTATTATTATAATTATGTATGAATAATACATAATATTAGGGTAAAAGTCTTATAGTCAATAGCACTTAGGAAACCAATTATTGTTTTTTTTTTATTATGATTATATTTTTATTTAAACAAATGGCCACAACATGGCCAAAGGGCTGTCGATCGATGAATTTCTGCCCATGTAATTATATAAACATTATAAATATTTTTAACTCGACTTAAATTTTTGACTGTAAATTTACGTAAGATATAATTTGGTTGTAATTACTCAAACATTAGAATTGTACAATTTCAAGTTTAATTTATTTCCTAGAGATAGTATCTAAAAAAAAATGAAGATTCAAAAATGCACAGGACGATTTTATTTAGATTGTAAGGATTATAATAGATGAGTAATATAGTTGTTTTTTTTAATGAAATAGTTTAGAAAAATATGTACTTTTCATAGTTATTAATAAGCAATATTTATTGATTTAGTGCAATCTAGAAAGAAAAGTAATTAGTTCATTTGTAGATCCAATCATGAACTAGCTAGTCCTTCAATCAGCGAGAAAGAGAGAGAGAGAGAGAGATAAGTACATTATAAATACTCATTCTATAATTCAGGGTTTCCCAATTTTTCGTGCAACGGAACACATCGTAATTTAGTAATTATTTCATTCTGGTTTATAAGTGTTCAGCGGAATACAGTTTAGGAAACCATACATTAATGTTAAGAATTTTCGGTTGACTAATTTGAATTTGGCTTCTGTAAATATATACAGATTATTACAATATTAAATATATATTTAATAGTTAGTTCTTGAGAAATTGTTAAAATAGTTCATCTTTATATTTTGTCTATTAACTGCTACAGGTTTTGTCTATTAACTGCTTTTACAGAATAAATGTAAATTAAGTTTGCTTAATAAATATATTGACTTCAATTTTATTTTATAAGAGATTAAATAATATTTTACAATTGTTTTATAATTCAATATAAATAATATCTGGGGCATATTGTAATTATTTCTGATTATCATTGGAATTATTAACAAGTAATAATATAGATTTACGAATATAAAGTAAAATTAATATAAAAAAAACAAAGAAAATGTAAAGCATTTAATAGTTAAGTAAGATTTGCGAATAATAAATTATCAATATAGATAATTATTTTAAATATAATTGTTATTATAACAAAAAAAATGCAAAAAGCAACTTAATTGAACTTAAGTAAATGAAGAAATGTGTATTATTATAATAGCCGATGTTATTTTTGTAATCAATAATGGGATATATTTTTTGCAATGAAATAATCTAATTATATTAATAATGTTTTTAGGAAAAATGTATAATAAGAATTGTGTACTTACTGAAAAGAAGCTTTTCGTTTTCTACTGGTATTAATAGAGCTATCTACGTTGTGCATATCTAATAAACTGGAATTAGATGAGTCAAGAGCGGGTTGATTCGTTTGGTAAATTGTTGAGGAACAGGGTTGTCTGCAAGATGATACGAACATATTGGTTTGAACAGTTTCTTGTATACCGAAAGCTCAGCAACTTACTCGATCATATTCGAAAGTTCATAGTAACTAGGTTCATAGGGATGCTGGGGTTGCTCCACATTTTGCACACTGACCGGCTTAAGTTCTTCGAGGGAAATAAATTCCTTCTCGTCGTCCGGTATTTGCAGCAAACGCGAATAACTGAGATCTTGCACTGGGAAATTACGCGCGACCATAGCTCGTCCTTCTTGTTCAATCAGTCCCCTTTTTTGTTGTCGCTTTATCTAAGCGTTGCGTTTGCAAATTTATTGCGATACGAACAGTTGTCGGCCTTAGCGAAGTTAATTCTTTCACAGCATCGAATCGAGTGTTTTCATTCTTTCTGTACCTGTGCAATTTATAAATACATACAGCTATACGCTGGGATATCAACAAGTGAAGATTTAAATGCGATTAAATGCGCATGTTTCCAATATTCCCATTGGCTCCCTTTTGCACCTTAACAGCCAATTAACTTGACTATCCCTTAACAATACGCACACACAATGCATACACACAATTACATCCCTCTCCACCATCTGTGTCGGTATAACTTTGAAATGGTTTTTTTTATCAATTATTTGCTACAGTTTCTTATAACTACTATGTAATATGTTTATAGAATGAATGTTTGATTTTTAAAATTATAATCAGTTCTGTTTGAAATTAACGTTATATTTTATATTCGAAAATCAATAACGCACCTTTATGCAGTCAGAAATTATTACTTAGGTAACAGAGCCATTATATTGAACCAACTTTTAGAAAATTAAGCATCAATCTTATTGACTTCCATTAGATTTTTACAGAATAATCGAATGAAACAACATATGTGTGTAATATTTTAATGCATTTAAATAAGGATTCTTCAATTTATTATTTATATAAATAATACAAAAATTATCCAATACAATATCTAAAGCGGTTCTTAAAAGTAATTGTATGTGTAAATTATTACATTATTAATTAAGATAATATTAAACAAATTTATTGAACATCTAAATTATTTTTTAATAAAATGAATTATTAAATTTGTTTTCAGTATGTACATAAGTCTGTGTATTAATAGGAAGTAGGGTTTATACAAAAACCGACTTTTTATACAACTGGTTTTTGAATCTCAACTTTTCACGAAATTTCACAAAAAAATAGAAGGGATTTTTACAACTTAATTAATTTTATAAGAAAATAGTTTAAGTTTGTTGATAAGTCTAACAATAGCCCTTTGCAGAAGTTGACTGTTTATTCTTTATTATTTTAAGGTTTTATTTTCTACTTTTACTGTTGCAATAAATAATATTATAATTAAATGGTCAACAGATTTTAGCAAAAGTCATTAATATTTATGATTATTTCAACAAATATAATACATACCTAAGATATTTTCTTACTTATGTGAGTAATTGAATTAATTTTATACTTTACCGGTTTAAAATAGTAGTGTTTTGGAAAGGTAATATTACAGATCCATATAATTATATGTTAACTACATATTGCTTTGCCATTTAATAGTATTATAACTGGAATATCATTTTTTATCAGGATATGTTTAATATATAGAAGACTTTAGTCAATAAACTTTAGTTCAGTCGAATCTTTCACTATCTTCAAATGTTTCGTCGCGTTTAAATATATCTATATACAAATTTATATATTAAGACCATCTTTACTCTATACAAGCAAGTAACAATTTAATTGAAATTCGTCGCTTTTTGATCCGATTACAGTAAACGATATGGTCGTTGTTCCACATTTGTTTGTTTGGACTTCCATGTGTTTGATTCGTGCATCGTCCGAATATTCTCTACTAACAAGGTTCGTTACGCAAGATAATCTCACTGCAATTAATACTGATGCGATACGTCTGTCAAAGGGTTTGTTTCATTATATTTTTGTTTGTATGTATTCATGCAAGCTTATTAAAGCTGTTTATCCCTCCAGATTATAATTTAAAGAAATAATAGATATTATTACAAATACTTAATTCATTTCTTATTGCATATGGTTATATTCAAGAAAACATTAGTTGTCAAATATTAGTTACTAAAATTTTTAATTGTTATTACAATTTTGAAATCATTTAAATTGTAATAACAATTGAGGATATCCTCAAATATATTAGGATTAAGTCCATTCTTTATATTGGGTGAAGTAAAAAGTTCTTAGCGTCTTGTCCCATAGATCGAGCTTCTTGCATAAGGCGGGTCCTTATGCAAATGTTCCAAACGGTTTTCAGGCTAATCTTAAGTTCCTGGGCAATAGAATAAGGGCTCGCATGTCGGTCCAACTCGACGATTTCCATGATTTTATCAACATTTTCGACGATTGGCCTACCAGAGCGTGTCTCATCTTCGACGTCCATATTACCAGAACAGAAGCGTTTAAATCAACGCTTTGCTGTTGCATTCAATGCTGTATTGCAGTGGCCCCAACCCCCGGTCCGCGTTCTAGTGAGTTAAAATGTTAAATCACGTCGCCCCCTCAGCGGTCCGCGGTAAAATTATTAAACGTTGACCGGTCCGCGGCAATAAAAAAAGGGCTTCATTGGGTCCATAAACAACACAATTTTTTTTGGCCGCCTGCATCTAAATTTCCCCTTGATCGTAGTGGTATTGAAAAATGTATCGAGATTTCTCTTTTTTACCTCAATTTTTTTTAAAGCGTTATGTCGCCTTTAAGTCGCAGTATAGAATGACAATGACATCGTGAGATATGGCTAACTAAAGCCTAACGAAAAACGCTCAAAACTTTAAAGTATTTTCTTGACTTTATGTTGTTTTTTATATAGATCTTTGGGCATTAGGACTTTTATTGTTGAATAACGTTTCCTCCAAAAAAGAAAAAAATATTAATAAAACTAAACTATAACTTTCTTCACCAACATTTTTTTATTTATTCCTATATTTTTATATGATTTCAATTTAAATAATGTATATAATGCAAAATGAAAACATATGAAATAAATTACAGTTTCCTGTACGTGTATTCAATTATAAAAAATACATTTTATCACAACCGATGCTTCGCATCAAATCTTCATCCTAAATGTTTTACCGCACAATTCATCAATTGTCTAGCATTTGTTGAAGGCCGCACGTCGCGAACGAAAGTTCATTAAATGCAGTTTCTACTTTCCTTTCTGTAAATAAAATAATGAGATATAGTGTTTTTTATAAGATTTCTTTTTAAAAAATGTAGCTTTTATAATAACAGTGCTTCTCTTGCTGTAATAATCTTGAAATTTAAAAAATCATATTTCCTATTCCACGCTTATATATGTATTCGTGCATACATTAACATATCAGTTATTATTTGGTTGGTGGATTATTACAAAAGAAAAAGTAACAGATATTGCGTCATCATATTATGTTGAAGACAATTTAATTAATCGGATGAGTTGTTATTGACGTAAAAGTGCTGTAATTTGAAATTGAATATACGTCGGAATTAGGGGGGAGTCTAAATAAATAATCATCTGCATCGGATAGGTCTGAAACGAATGATATGCTCTACCTGTTGCTGCTCACAGTTTTACGTGTTTTGGACAGTCTAACGATATGGAAATAAAGATACATTGAACGCACATTACCTGTCGTCATTTGCACATGTACATAAGCCTATATATATACACACCTATTATTCGGAGTTACACAATAAACGCCAAACGCAGATACACATATACTAAAGGTATGATCACGTTTGCAGAGTTATATAAAATGTAATGGTTTCACGATTTATTTTTATCATCTCAGTGCATATTATTTAAACATTTTCCAGTTTAGTAATCAATTAAAGAAAACAAATATATATGACTATAAACTTAACTTAAACTGGTTGTATGAAACATTTTGAATATTATTCAAGAAAAATGAATTTAGGAAGGAATGTCTTTGATTTTGGAGAACAGGACGACATGGAACAGATATGGTTGAAAGATTCTATTAATTGAAATAATGTTCCAGAAAAAGTCTTAATGATTTAAATATTTAATATATTGGTTTCCAGAACATAATAATTTCATTATTATTATCATCATGATAAAAAAATGGCTCTAGAAGCTACTTTTACGTATTCTAGATTACGGTACAAACTTTTCGTAGTTGCCCAATTTTAGCACAATTTGTATACAATCCTCTAGAACAGTGATTCCCAAAGTGTGATACGCGTACCTTTCGGAGTACGGGAAAATCGAAAATGTATATCCGCAATATATGCATTTTACTATGAATAACAATAACAATTAATATTAACCAAAAATATTGAAAATCGAGCAAGAACAATTTTATTTTGTTCATTTTAATTTTCTTTCCATGCTGAAATATCAAAGTAGATAGTCCTTAAGTCAAAATAATATATTTATTTACTACGAATTGATATTTTATAATTTATTCTTTCATGACGTGTCCTACGACACCATTAATGCGGCTCTGATTGAAAGTAATAGACATTTATATATTCGTTTATTTTCATTCTATAAAATACACAAAGTGACGAAATTTGTAATAATTCTAAATAATCATCAATTTATCGATTGAAGTGTATATTAAATAATTTACAATTTTTTTTATTAATTTAAATAACGAGTTTGAATTTGTATGCTTTTCGTTTTTGTATCCAGGAGCAACTCTTCATTATATAAGACATCAGATGCATTTCCTAATAACGTCCAGAGTTAATAATACTGGAGGCGTCGAGACGCTTCGCAAGCTTGAGCCTCAGGTGGCAGACATTATCAGGTTACAATTTCTCGGACTAGCAACACTGGTATCAAAATAATAATACGTTTCTGAAATATAAAGAAATACCTTATTTACTATAAATAATTGATTTACGATGCAGCAAACGTAATTGCAGAAATACTGGCTATATCAATATAATATTTATATACATAGGGAATGGATTCTCAATTCCTAGCTAATAAGAAAAATCAAATATCAATTAAAATACAGGTATTCCCCGACTTACGAACTAGTTCCGTTCCAAAGGGTTGTTCGTAAGTCGAAAAAATTTCAAAATATACTTATCTTATCACACTTTATCATGGTTTTTACTTTTATATATGTTAAATTCCGTATTACAATATACTTACTTACAAATACTTTTCAATGGAAACATCACAATTATTTAATAAAAAACAACAAAAAAGCAAATGCAACAAAACAGATAGTACTTCTTCCAAAAATGTTATATTTTGTTAAATAAATTATCAATTCTTGTTTGGACAGTTAGAGCTTCTAAAATTTTGTTCGTAAGTCCGGGAGTTCGTGTATAGTACTAGTACATCTAGTTTTAAATAAATGTACGTTTTAACATGAAACTTATTATATTAAAATCGAACCTAAGAATACATTGAAGAAAAAATAAGGAAATTATATATTTATTAAGAAAATTTGTAATACTCATTATGTGAATCAATATGGTTCACTAAAGCAGTGATGGAAATATATATAATTTATGTTTAAAAACATTATTTACGTGCATGTTCCATTTTTTGCATATTTGGAAATATTGCGATTTCTGAAAGTTGCTAGATTGGCACCATATCAGAAGTGTCCAAGTATATAAAAACATTCTAAATGCTCTGACAGAACAAGAACGCTAGAATTTGTTCAAGGAGCTCAACAAATTAGTGTTTCTCAAACTTTTTTGGTCCGCGACCCTTTTTGCACTTAAAAATTTGAAAAGACCCCCAGAAAATATTTTCGCAACCCTTCCACAACCTCCCGCATGATTTTACAAAGAAATAAATCTTTAAATTTTTTCAGAAAAAGAAAATTTCTTTTGCAGTATTTGTTAATTTTTCGGTGAACATAAATCTGTTCTCAAATACCTTACGCACCCTTTCGTAATAATAAGTAAGAATTAGGATAATCTAAAAATAATGGCTCGAAGATATTTGTGTATCTGATGCATTTTTTATGAATTTCTTTGCAATTCCAAAAATTGATAAATCCACTTGTTTTAATATAGATTTTAGATTCTAAATTCTCCTTTACTTCACGAACTTCCGTATGAAGCAAATTATTGTAGATTTCATTATTATTTTGGCATCATTGCACATAAATCCAGATCAACATTGTAATCAACATACTTTATTGTAATTAATAAAATTTTAAAATGCATATTTTTATAGACACTTAAATTCTATAGACCCTTTTCAAAATTCCATCGATGCCAAGAGGTCGAGAAATACTAATATATAGTATTGCCAATAAATAATATTAATTATTATTTTAAAATATTAATATATGTAAGCTTATTTTTTTTTGTTGGCCTACCAAACGATATAGAATTTAGAAATTTAACATAATTATGAAAATCTAAGTTGATATAAATCTCGTGTTATATTTTTCAAAATACTTTTCTTTACATAATTTACAGCTGGAAATGTTAATGCAGTTTATGTTTAAACTGAACAATTCTCATGTAATTAACCTGTTATAAGTATTTCAAATAAATATTGTAGAAAAAAACAATAATTAAAAGTTAATTAGTAGCAAATTTCTTAAGTAAAACAATTAAAACTAATATAAATAATGTCACTCTAACATTCCAAGAACAAACTTAAACTAATTTAAATGATATTAGGAAAGAAAATTTATATTATTGTATTGATGTTAAGTACAGTAATTCGAATGAGTAAACGATACAAATATATTTATATCATGTGAATAGTGGCGACACCTGTGTCCGGAGCATCAAATCAATCTAACAGATTCCTCTCCCACCCTAAATACCCCCAGCGTCTTTGACATATGCATATGATTTGACAGTTCGGAGCGAGAAATGAAATCTAGTTGACGTCTCTATGTTGGTGCAATAACAATAAAAGTGTAATAGATATATGATAAAAGAAATGGAAACAAATACAACACGTGCCACGAAGAAGTCGAATCACTTGAAATGAACGTAGCCAAAACAATGATATTGTAGGAGCAGCAGGTACATTAATTATTTTCTACATAAATCTCTTGAAAAATGCATTCCTTTTTTTTTGTTCGATTCCTGCTTGGCCCACTTTCAGACTTTACACTATAAACAAATTTTCAAGTTATACATTGCACATTGCGGAAGCGGCATTTATTGCGAACGGCAATGTTCCAAGCATAATCGCGTAAACAAGAGCGGCTAAATCTAATTATCTTGGGTGTAACGTAAACTTTCTTTCAAAACTGCACCTACATTTCAGCAGGACACTTGCTATGAAATTTTTATATGTGAACCCGGAATGTTTTGATCAATACAGCTGGGTTTTTTTTTCTTCTTACAGATCTTTATTTTTAGTCTGCATTTTGTTCCACATATTCACCTCTTCCCACTAAATTATAAGGCATTCAATCATCTTAGTGATTCATGAGCTTGGGCAAGCATTAATTAGGTAATGTTTTTCCAACAAATCAACACACCATTGATATATAAAATTATGTAATGTCATTTGCATCTATTGTAATTTCTTGTATCTGCATTGATTTCATTAAATATTTAGCAAAATATTAAAATCATATACTATTAAATTCAGTAAAGTAAATTTTATTTTTAAAATAACATAACTTTAACATAAATTGGCGGATTAACCTTTCAAATAACTATTAAATTCAGTAAAGTAAATTTTATTTTTACAATAACATAACTTTAACATACATTGGCGGATTAACCTTTCAAATAATGAGGCACGTGCTTAAGGGTCTCACGCTTTGGGGCCCCCCAAGTCAAGACATTTTCCTATAGTGTTTAAATATCATATATTTTTTGAGGGCCCAAAAATACAATTTTAGTGGCACCAAATATCCTTAATCCGCAACTATTTATATAGATAAAAAAAAACAATAATTGTGAGATCCACTTCTTTTTAAGACGTTTTTATGTAAAATATTTATTGATAATACATGATATTTTTTTAATTTCAATAAAATCATTAGTTTTGTATTTCAACAGATAAAATAAGTTAATTTCTTTTAAAAACTTATCTTTTTTATATAGATGAAAACAGAATTTTAAATATATTTGTATTCCATCTTACTACATTTATTACTTTCATTCTTTCGTTAAAATATATTGATACTAAAAAATCGGTGAAACTTGTCAAATAGAAAAGATGCTCAAGAAAAGGTGCTTATCTATTTTGTAATACAAATCTGATTCTCAGAAATATACCTGTATTACAATTCATGAACAGTAACTAATTTTCTGCGGAACAGGTTTGGAAACATTGAAAAAAAGACAAGATTATTTGTTTTTGGTAATTGAAAATGGTATATCTTGTGAAAGTTTGGTGTGTTGAGAGAAAACATTGCATTCCAAATATATGTTTATGTTTGAAGATTTTATTTAAAATGAAATTGATTTCCAATTACTAAATAAAATTAATTGCATTTGGAAATTGTAATATGTATTTAGTTCGATGTTTGTTTCATTCGAACGGAAAAGATAAATACTATAGTCGTTTCCAGTTTGAATTAACTTATATAGATTATATGAATCTTATTTGACAGATCATTTCATGTTCAAAACTGTGTCGAAATGTTCTGCATGAACGTGTTTAAGAACGTGTAAGAAAAATCAGTTCTATCTGTTATGGAGAATACAATATCATCGGCAGATGTAAATTATGGTAAACGAAGTGAAATTTCTAGTATATTCAATACAATGAAAAGGTTTTGCCCACCAGTTACCTGTAACTACATAATAATACCACCATCTGCCGAAGTTGTATTTGGAAATGAACCCGTATAGAAGATTATCACACAAAATAATAATTTAGAAATATATTTAATGGTTTGCTTTAAATTCAAGTTTCCACAATTTAAACCTCTTGTAACAGTGAATTATTTTTTAAATTTTTACTGTTATAATAAATATATTTAAACAAATATCCTGTCAATATATTTAGTATAATTATTGATATATTTAATCATTTCATTCAAATGATATACGAAGACTATCAATTAGAAACTGTTGCAGGTACAAAGATAAACGCAAATGCCATACACATATTTTATCTACAAATTTGCTAAACTTGAGCTGAATAATTCAACGTTTCAATCAAATGTATCTTTTAAGTTTAGATTAAAATCTGCGTTGTATTACGAAATTATGAAATTTCTATTAAGCATTTTTATACATTTACCAAATTTATTTTTTTTATTATAATATTTAAAAGAAATTATATTTATTACAGACTTATAAACAGTATTTATTTAAACAAAAATCACATTAAAATATAAGAGTTGCTTTTCGTAGCTATAAATCGTATTGCACAAAAAGTGTAAAAAACTAAGGTACAAAATAAATTCTCGTTATATTATGATATACGGCGACCTGTATCATTCACAGTATACCAGTTTTTGTTCAATAAATATTTTGCCTGTAGGAATAAGAGTAATAAATTAAATCCTGCCTTGTATAGGGAAAATTAATGTGTGTTAGAAACGTCAACATTAACTGAATAGTTGATTTGATCTTCTTAGAACGGATACAAATGAAATATTTTGTTGTACACAATTGTCAACAAACAACAAAATTAAAATTAACTATGTGATACGATCATTATTGTTCCGTGACATTGGCAGAATATGAAAACGTAAAAAATAAAATGGTTAAATGTATTGTAACAATGCGAGAGACTGATTAATAATGCAGATCACGGAAAAAATGAATTTATTTGTATCCTACGTGTATTTTACACTTCCGTTCAAATGGCGCACACAACAAAAATATGTAATAATAATTTATTAACTTTATTTATTTATTGACTGAAAAATGGGTGTATCAGTTCGGTTTTTATTATTATCATTAACCTAAGTAAACAGAAATAAAATTACAAATACTCAGACAGTAAATAATCAGATTGTATTATCATTTAATAAAATTATATAGATTTTTTTTTAAATATATTAAAATAAGAATAAAATTAAATATTAAATTACATTATTGAGGAAAATGAGCTGAAATGCGCATGATGAACTTTGATTCTCTAATGAAAGTATCGTTTTTACCTCTAAACACAACATCTCGATACAATAGACCAGGGTTGGATCAAAACATTGAAGGCTTACCTGGCAATCCTTTATCCATTCAAATGTACGAATGCAGATATGAAATAAAATAATGAGGTGAATGTGGAATATTTATAGAAGCTTGTTCCGTTCATATTTAGTGAACACGATTTTATTGTATTCCCTGAGATTGTCCTCTTGTATTTTAGTTTGTGGTTTAGGTTTTACCAAGTTCTCATGTTTGATGATTACAACGCATTAAATCCAACATAAATACCACATATATTCTTTATAAATATCTAATCTCATAATATACAACAGTTTTACGATTATGTAGGAAATGATTTTATAATAACCGTTAGTAACCTTTCGTGATATATGTCATTAATATATATTTTATAACAATAATAATATATAGATTTTAAATATTTGGTACCTGATGTTATTAGAATTAGATCATGATAATTCTTTATTTTTTCTAGTAAGAGTCATGAAAATGACAGCTACAAAATATCTAAAAAAAAACTAATAGCTTAAAATTACAATAAATATTCATATTTGTTATATAAATATGTTAGTATAAATGCAACAATTTGAGCGTGTCAGTGAACGTGTTTATAAAAGGAATGTTCAGGTCTATGGACCTTTGGTTCCTTTTTTCGGTATCTTTAATAAAACCACCAAGGAAATTTGATTTGCTACTGTCAAGTGATTTAACAACAAAAAATAATTGCGTGAAGTCTATCAATACTTTCGACATGGTTTAACTATTAAAAAAATACTATAAGAAATATAGAATCACTGAATTTTATTAAAATATACAATTTTTGTTTTGCTATATTATTAATTATTACTACTTTTCAAACAAAACTTGTTAATAGCACTAACTTTACTGTTACTTTTAAATTTATTGTAGACAGTTATTGAAATAATATAAAATACAATCAATAGCGCTTTGTATCTGATAACATTTTGGAAATTATATATATTTATTTTATTATTTTTATTTCTGTATATGTTTTTTTGTACGACTGCTGCAATAAACATTATTATTATTATTATAAAATACAAATGTTTTAGATCTAGTTTCAGATTATTAATTACATTATGCAATTTAACTTGTACTTTATTTTCTGATTTACAAATATTCGATAATATTAATTCAACATTTTCTTCTATCTTCTTTACAAAATTGTTTCGATAAACTTGCTTCGTCATTTCATAAATGACGCTTAATTTCCTTACACAAAGAAATGCATGTCTACTAATATATTAATAAACTTGTTTTTACTTCTGCTGGAAAAGCAAATGATTACTTCATCATTCACATTTTTTTTCTAATGAGAACATGGAATAATTTTCCTGGTTTCATCACAATAAGAGTTTGCAAACCGCAATGAAAAGATATGAAACGATTTGCTGAATTCCCCACAATAAATTAAGTGAATGAATACAGACTGTAAACAATAATAATATGAGTTTTAAATAATACGCGTTGCGTAATTTAACCCGTTAAGGAGGAATAATCTACGTGTCATTATTAGCTATTAGCGGCGTTAACAAAATACAATAATTTTGCTTTAGACGTAATAAAAACAGATTGTGTTTTGTATGTTCTAGTAATCGCTATAATGAGGTTTAATAAGCAGGAGCTGGAGACGTTAGCCACTCAGCCGTCTAGTAAGTTTGAAAAAGAAGGCGTGCTGTACATCAGAGAACGTCAGGAGGGTTTTTTTCGGAAGACAGAGAGTGAGTTTTGCACAGTTAAAGAGATTATGCAATTTGCTAGATGGCGATTAATCGAAGTGCATTTTCTTATATTATTATTACGACGTTGTTTATTAGATTAGATAGCGTACGCTTTATTTTGATATACGTTAATATAAGATAATGCGCGATTTGTAAGTATGCTATGTGTTTTTTTTTCTTCGTTCCTTTTGTTTTTTACATACATTTACTACGAGCGAATGATAATATTTCTTCGTCAAATGTGCAAAGGCATGCTGGTTGTGTAAATTTAATGATGTTAGCATGTGTTACTCGAATCGTTTGTAAGAAAAAAACATGTGCATGTGTCGCAACATTTGTAATATTTAATTTTTATTAATTTCATTTCTGTTTTCAGACAAGATTATAATCGAGGAATGTATTTACGAAAATTGATCTTATAATTAATAGAAGCTTTATTGAAATCACGTGGTATTTTAAACATAGTGTGAATAAAACAGTACCGTTAGTTTTTATAGACAAATAGATCTTTCGATTTTTTTTATTCCTATAACCGGTTTCCTAAAACTATGAATCATATATTTTAACTTTTTTTTTTGCAATCTTTCTCAAATATTTGCTATCATCTTTATCATTAAGTGGAAAAGGATTATTTGAATTATTAATATTTTGTTAAAACAAAACATAATTATATAAATATAATTTATTGAAATTTTAATACATAGTAGCTATTTATTTATATACAACAGATATAATTGATAATATCAAATAAAACGGGCAAAAAGACCTATGGCCAATAGCCCTTTGAAACAGTTGACTTTTTTTCATTTATGATATTTATATTATTGTATTGAGTTTTTTTTTTATTTTGTAATTTTACTGTTATTATTATTATCAAATAAAACTTGCAATTTAGAAATTGTCAGACACTGAAATATATTAAATGTAATATATTCCTTGATTATAATCTACAAGTATGCCTTTCATATGTGTTATGTAAATTGTATATATATACTACATAAGCCGAACTCTTTTTATTTTTGTTTTTTTTTCTTAACATGTGTCAAAATGCTACATATGATATCTCTATGACATCGTCAATTACAGGAAGGGATAACAAAAAAGACAAAAAGCGACTTCGTAATCTAAGCTGTGTAGGGGGAACGAGTAAAGGTACTACCATAAACAAAACGCACTTAATTAACAAACAAATAAACTCAACAATACATCTAAACTAACCGATCATACTAATCTGTTTTGTGCAATCCCCCTTTGTGTTTCAAATGCACAGAACGCCATCACCATCACCGAGCACTCGCTTCATTTGAAACTAATACATATAATTAATATGACCGTTGTAAATTAACCAAATTGTTAACCATTTATTTTCCCTAAACATGTAAAAGATTTTGGTGAGTATTTCTTTTTGCATGCGTGGATTTTTGCATGGATGTATTGTATGTATTAATTATTATTGTTTTAGTAATATTGTTGTATTTCAATATATTTACTATATTTAATGACAATATTCTCGATATTGAACGAATGTAATCGTATTTTAGTTAATTTGGAAAGATGGTGCAGACTTCGAGGAAACTTATTGTTTTACTTCAAAAGCAAGGATCCGTGGTCCGAGCCAACAGGGCTCGTTGTCTTGGAGCAATGTCTTGTTCGCATAGATCCACCGATGGCCACAACACCAATTACAGCAGATGGCCATTTCCCGTTTTACTTGGGTAAGACAATAATAATTAATCAAATTGCTAATATGGGTATCTATGGCCAGTTATACATTATATAGATTAGTATATAATTGTCCAAGATAATTGATAAAAGCATGTTTCTGTGCGTAAACTAATAATTGTGTAATTATGTTTAATGGAATTATTCATTGTGTTGCATCCTCGTTACTTTCGCTCAAATTTATTTCAAATTAAATTGTATTTCAATTTAAAACAATATGTTATTGATTATCTTACTTTCAACGCAAACCTTTCTTATTGTAATAGTTTACTTTCGTTCCATTAAATCATCAAGTAAAGAGAATGCACTGATTCTTAGAAATATGTATATAGATTCGCAGCACAATGTGGTTTATTTCACAACAAATAATGATGAATATGAACTTAAATGTAAATAATATTTTCTATAATTTAATTAGTATTCTTTAATATAAAAATTTAATTCATAAGAAAATTAGTTGTGAACTTAACTTATGATGTAATTTGGTTCTCCTTTGTCAATGTTAGATAAAAATTAATTCAATTACAGCAGAATACATTTTCTCCAAAATAGTCCAAATAAGTATACAATTCCTTTCATTTATAATATAATATTCTCATTTTTTGTAATACAGTCAAAATAATCAATCAAATGTATGCCTGTTGTTTTCAAATAATTTTAGACTTAGTCATATATGTTTTATAATATGTTTGTGTTTAAAGTATCTTCCTTTTTTAAACTTTTTTGTTATATCATATATACAAATACGTTGGCCAAAGAGTATTGATAATAGTCTTCCTATTCTATTAACATCAATTATAATGTAATTGTTAATAACTATTTATTTGTATGCAGTTTTTGATGGTGGGTTGTGTCAGTCATTGGCCGCACCCTCCGAGAGCGAGAGGAGCAGTTGGATTGACGCTATCAGAGCTGCGAGTTACGAGGGCATTAGATCAGAGTTACACACGTTAAGACAATGCATCGAAAGAAGGCGGACTCATAAACCTAATATCGATTTGCATATGTGGCGGATACAGCGCACCCACTCAATCGATTTATCCGAGTTACCATTATGCGAGGTCGCCCTCGCCTGTGATAACTTACTATGCGACGGCCACGGCCGCCCCCCGAATCCGACCCTGGTCATCGACGTCTACATGCCGTCTGTGAAAATCTGGGTGCAATATGGTCGAACGGAAATCATCGAAGTATGCACAAATAGTAATAATATTTATATGACCCAATATTTATGATCCCGTTTGTCCTTATTGCAGAAAAGCAGTAATCCAGGATTCCTATGCACCATTTGCTTTCGATCTTCAGACGGTCTCTGCGGCGATTCCCGCATCAGGTTCACAGCCTTCGATGTACGTGAAAGGGTCTCCCATACAGCCATACCCTTGGGATCTGCCGTTGTCTTGCTAAGTGCCATACAGGACTCTTCGAGGTTGCGTATCCCCTTGATGTCCAGTGTCCAGAACACCATTGGTTTTCTCACCGTCAGTGCCTGGTCTTTAGAAGCGGAGGATAGGGGAAGCAGTACAGAGCACACACCATGCAGATTGCCACATCATAATCCTCAAGTAAGACAAGAAATACGTGCATAAAAAAGTATATATAGATGTCGTAAATTGTATCATTCAGTCACTTATTTACATTATAATAGCGAGGGTATTCTACAGGGATATAGTATTGGGGGGCGAATAAATTTATTCCAAGAAATGTAATAAACTTTGACTTGAGCTAGGTGAACAGAACAGCATACCGAACCGAAGAATTTCGGATATAAATCAAATTTTATAATATCCGCAAATACTCACTTAATTTGAATTATTTACATCACAATGTAATAAATGGATATATAAACGAATGCTATTTATATTAGTCAATAAAAACATTCATTCCTAGGGCAACATTTCTTAAATTATATAAACATACTGTTTATTTTTGGTTAACAAAATAATCGTAAAGATTTATAATTATAATGCTATTAGCTACTAGTTAATTTTGATTAGAAGCATTGTGATTTAAATGAAGTTACGTTATAGAGCACGTATCACATTTTAATAGGAAGTGAACTAACATTCACATTATTATACAGTCAACCCTCCTATAAAACCATTAATTATTACCGGGTTCTATGGAAACATAGTTCTAGTTCTTTATCCTTAGCAATTCCCCTGTTCACATCATTGAAATTGTCAATCTATAATTTTGTTTACCAATGCATTTGAGATATCAATTAATTTTCTTCATCTAAACCAGTGATTCCCAAAGTGGGCTCTGCAGCGATCCAGAGGGGTGGTAGAAATATTAATACATATATCTTTCTGTTAAATTGCTATTAAAATTTAATATATGAGTAATATTTTTTCTGGATAGGATAGGCCAAATAAGTTTGGGAACCTCTGATCTAAACTTTAGATTTTAAAGCGATTTTGCTAATGACCGCTGGCTTTTCGCCTTCACATTTTTATTAATCAATGTTTGTCGTCGCATATTTAATTTTTTTTATAAGCATTATTATAATAGTCTTGAATATTTTATTCATATTTCTTACTACTAATTAAATGTTTCTATTAAATTTCATAATTTACTATGAAATTCACTTCAGTCTGTGAAAGACCGTATTTAGCTAAAAGGTATAGCACGAGTCGCCAAAGTGGTCGAATACATATAAATATGCGTTTTCAATGATGCAGATTATAGGTATTTTTTTAATCTTTTTCTATACTCACAGTCGAAAATACGCTAGTTAAGATAAACACAATTTGCTCGTAATAAACGATTATGACAAGATGTATCTAAAGAACAAATATTAAAAATTATATTCTATTTTAAAATCTATGTGGGAGATTACACTACTATAGTCAAGTTAATGGCCAGATTGTTAGGATGATTCTCCAATATATTCTGATAAATAATGAACCAAAAATTTGTAGTGCAATGTTAATATTATGAAAAATCTGTAAATATATGAATTATTATAACTCTAAGAATCTGCTATAACTAACATTATAAATTAGGTGTTAATTTAAATTTTCCGCCTTAATTACTAGTTTGCTCCATTTGGCGCAGGTAATTAATTATTGGAAATTTGAGCGTTTATTTAAACAGCGAACGTTTAACATAGAACTAAAGCTAATATAATTAATTGATAGGTAAAGTTGAAAAATTTAAGAAAATAAATATTAATTTTATCAACATAAAAATGATCTATGTATTACGTGAAAATCTTATATACGTGATACCATAGCAATTAAGCAATAAATTTACACGTGTAAGTCGGTTGTCTGCGGAGTAATTTGAAAATATTTGAAATTTTTGCTTAATTATTATTTAATAGAATTTAATTTGGAGTATAAAAATAAATTACCATTTTATATTTAGAATGCTACTCTACAATATTTATCATATATAACGCTGATATATATTGACGTAATAAGTTTTAAACTAAAGTAGTTATTTATAAATTGAAGAAAATAACAATAATACCTCATCACTTTATATTAAGATTAACATATTATTTAGATACAAGGATTATTTAATGTAAAAAACACGAAATTTATTTTTATTAATTAAGTTATTTCAATTGATTAAGTGCTTGTTGTTGTACAATATGTCCTTTTGTTACATATATAAAACATTAAATAAGATAACTAAACTTTAGCTAAATAATATCACACAGATACGCCCATATAATAAATATGCTATTCAGCGTAAATGCTGATATTATTATTTAAATAATCATTCAAAGAAACTCGACTGTTTTTTCATTACATAATGAATATAACTATAATTAATTTTATGTATATGAATATAAAATTAATAACCATTGTGACATAAATCAAACAAAAGTTTACATTTTTTTTTTTTATTATTTTTGTACAAGTTCCGGTGCTAAATTATTTACAATAAGTACAATTAGTTTTGCAAATTTTGCGTTTGGAGAATCATTCGATTTTCGCGCTTCCTCGATGACTGGAAACGTATTTCTGACGAGATAGAAACCTGATTTTATCGTTCCAATAGTATATTTCAGTAGCGAACCAAATGACCACATATTCAAATTGGAAGTGACATCGTGCGAAGAGGATTTTTCCTTTTCCAAACCAATGTACATCGAAATGGAATAAAGGACATCCGTCAGAAATTCCGTCACATCGTCGATAAGTTTTGTAAATTTCTGAGAATTCGATGGCTTCACTTGAGTGTCACACAGAACCTTAAACAAATTATGATTAATTGTTGAACCGTTTACTTAAATAAATGTAAAATCATTTTTCAAAAAAAAAAATTTACCGTTGAAAATATTAAAGTTAGAACCAACAGAACCTTAAACATCTTAACGTATATTAAGATACGGCCGACGCGCGCGCTTCTATAATAAACCGCGGTCCTCTGCTGTCGAGTCTTTTTAAGCTTTCCTCTTCCACTTGCCATGAAATATGGTACTGTTATTACACTAGTAAAATTAACTTAATGGCCTTTTATGCAGCAAATAATTAAAATTATTTGTGTATATATGAAATGTTTTCTTCGCGTACAGACTGGAATAAGGTTTATGGGACGGACACTACCGTGCCATTGTCGAGCATCTTCATTAAAAATATTATCATTGATTGTGTTTATATAACTGGTCATCTGCGTGCGTAGTGTTAGTACAACTGTATCGTTTTCAATATTATTTATTGAATTCAGATCCGGAATAATTCAAATTCAAATAATACATTTTAAGAGCAATCCTCGTCATTTGAAATAGTTTTTAATTCATACATTTCTTTTTGTCTAAATTTAATGTGAGGTTTGTTATGTTACACGAAAATTAGATTAGAAAAAAATATTTTTTTTAATTATATATTGTTATATAATTTATATAAAAATAATATTAATATTAACAAAAGTTGTAGATAATTTCGGTCATTGGGCTGTATAAATAAATGTATGAATTAACACTAAATGCAGTAAACGCTCGTTTTGTATGTTTTTTTTAACAGAACACTACACTTAGATATGCTATAATCATTTATCAAATTTGATTCAATTCTAGAATAACACAGAAAAAGATTTGTGACAAATATCAAACAGTTTTGTATACTTAAGTATATTATGATGTATGTGTGTATGTATGAATAGAAACATCTGTTCGCTAATTCTCATTAGTGCGACTCTATAATTACGTTGTTACTTTTTATGTCTCCAGGTAACTGTTATTGTGAAAAGTGACGGTCGGCTAGCGACTAAAGTAATTAAAAGTATATTTGCTTTTTAAAAAGAATTAATAATTTTGATAATATTATTATATATTACTATTTGTATGTTGCAGGTATTTTCACATAGAAGATCACAATCACTTCCTCCTAGATTGGGTGCGAAGATGCGTCTTCCTAGTCAGGCCGAGCTGAAGTTACTCTATGCTTCGCCTTACGTTCAAACCTACCGATTCCATTCTGGTTTAGGAGGAGACATTTGCGCACACGAACTAATGGCGGAAAACAAATTGTGCTTCTCGTTTCCACAACAGTTACTGTAAGTTTTTTAAACATTTTAATTACTTTCTTAAGTTATATTTATCTTGAATAATCCTAAATATTGTATGTGTTATTGAATGCAATATTCTTGTTTTAGCAATGTTTGGATACATCAGGAGAAAGAGCTGTTGCAAGAGGTGGCTGGGATGGGTGAATTCCGTGAACCATGGCACTCGAGGCAATTAGAGCTGCTAGATCGGCATTTGCACCTGCTACGATTGTATTCGCAAGCCAGAGAGAACCTGCAGGCCCATAAGGGCAGCTTATTTAAACCGAGCTCGCGTAAATGGGATCGCAGTTTGGAATTTGCACCTGTTAATTTACATTTACAACGAATGTGGGTCCATAACGACACACTGAACAAAGCAGGATTTTACGATTGGATGACTGTTGGAGCTTTCACTGCTCATTCGCATAAATCCAAGAACGGAGGACTAATAAAGTTGATATACTGCTTTTATAAAATAAACGCATTTCTATATTTAGTTTTTGTTACAGGTTGGTCCAACAGCTAAAGGAATCTCCATCCCGAACTAGTTGTAATTATCAAATATCAACAAAAATTTCAATGGCACATGACGCGATTCAAGCTATAAAACAGTTACGTAAAGACGTGGTTGAAGCAATGGTAAATTTGATGCGTTTAGCTAAAGAAAAGCAAACAATCGGAATGCTCCCAATTTGCGATGAGATGATAAAGAAGACACGTATTCTGTTAGGACTATGGGATCCTGGTTTAGTCGAAGAAGCCTTAAACTTTATTGAAGAACATAAGTTAGCAGTGAACGATGATTCAGGTGTTTGTGATGACTTCAGTTTGGATAGCAACGAAAGGCCGAGTCTGGTGCTGTCGCCTTTCAAACGGATCACTCAACAATTAACTCTAGATCTTAAGAGTCCAGATTTGGATGACTTTGCCACGCCTTGCACACCGCGCAATGCGGATGATCTGTGGAAGTCGACGCACCACGTCTCCGAGAAAAATAGTTTACTTAATACGAGCGAAGGTGTCAAAAGTTTGTGCTCAAATATGCAGACACCGGACGAAAGCAATTTTGTGATTTTTCCAGATTGCGATGATAATAGTCGCGCAGTCGACGATGTACTTAACTCTGAACAGAAAGTTGATCAAAACGATTCTGGGCGCATGTTCTTAGATACTCATGTGATGTGCAGTTCCCCATCGGCAAACTATTATAAGCCGACTGATGAGCCGGAACCATGGGATTTGACACAGCTTAATATCGAGGCCAGTGTAATGTGTCTAGTCAGCAAAGTCAAATTCTTATGCGGACGCTGCGGCAGTCCAGCAGTACGTTTGAGACAAAGCCAGAAGGTTTCATCTTATGTGCCAGTTAATACGAATCAATCGTCAAACGATAATGTGACCGAGGCTGTGAAAAAGGTTGTGAAAAATGGTAACAAATTTACCGACGGTTTAGATCTGAACAAAATAGTAGATTGGGCCGCAGAACTCAGACCTAGCATGAGAAAGTTAAGGCAGGCTATGGACGGATTACTTAAAACAGCGAGACTCACGCACTCTGTATTCAGAGTCCAAGAAGAGCCTAAAGCTGCACAAAGAGTTTGCAACGTTCGCTACCGACGAGATGTTTGCTTTTCACAAGCTGTAAGTTTATTTATGAGAGAACCAAAAAACAATTATCATTATTTTTCTAATTTGCAGTTGACTTCTTTAGTAGCTGCTTTGATGACAAGATTATGGTGCCATAAGCCGGATCCGGCATTTGTTACTTGCCTCAGTAGTCTGGGCCCCTTAGCTTCATTTGAAGGTTTGCTTAGTTATCACGGGAGCGAAATCGATATGTGGGGTGATATGTCTATTGCCATCGAGGATTTAAGAACTGTTATGTTTGTTCTAACACGTTCTCCAAGTCCGACCAGTTCAGACCCTCAGCCGGTTCCGAAAGTAACGGGAAGCCGGAACGGTCTGACTGTTTCTTTACCAGTACCTGATGCACTGTACTCCCTAATTCCAAATAGACAAAACATTACATTCAATGTAACTCCAGTATTCTTTAATATCGGTATCAACGAACGCGCGACTATCGCTGAAAGCATAGGAGCCACACGAACTCAGGAAAGGTCTAATGTGGATAACTACGAACGTCTGAATGAATATTTCTTAAGGTACAAAAAACTTAATATGCCGCAAACTCCATTATACAACGGAAGAGCTTCTTCGAGTGCCGCCCAGATGCGACCCTTGCCCAATTTGATGGAAGACTTGAAAGTATCTGTCGCTTGCGGTAAATCTAAGAACGTTGACGTATTACATTTGGCGGCACAAATTTGTAGACAAATGAGAGGTAAATATATTATTGAGTGCCTTCAAATATTACAACGTATTACTCATTTCAGGCTTAAGATTTACAAGTTGCAAAAGTGCCAAAGATCGTACTGGAATGGCCGTAACATTAGAACAGTGTCAAATTTTAGTAGATGAATACCATTTAGCGGAACATGAATTTCAAAGAGCACTTGATTGCATTAGAAGGTAACTAAGTAATGGTGAAATCTAAATTCATTTTTTAATATTTATATCCGTTTTAGCGAGGGCTGCAGACGAGAAAATACCTGGAAAAATATGAACGTGAGAAAGTACGCTTTCAATTCACTGCAGTTGCTATCTCTACCGAAGTTATATAGACCACCAGCTGGAACATATGGATCTGCACGAACTTAATTTAAATTGTAGTAAATTTCGATTATTCCAAGGTGCCAATTGTATACCTTATAGTCACTACTTTATAACTTATACTTGTTATTAATCTAACGTTATATATTTTTTTAAGTTATATATATATATATATATTGTATGTATATAAATTTATTTATACTAATTTAATGTATTAGATGAGAAATATCTAGGACAATCCCCTCAAATAAAGTACATAATACAAAATTCATAAAAATAGAACCTTTACTTATTATTTTTTTCAATCTAATTTTATATTACCTAAGCAATTAGTGACTTGATTTCTATAGAACTAGAACACTATTTAAAAAGAACAATTGGAAATCACATTATCCGTAGTCATATTTTTTGGGTTTGTCCCGGATGGATCTAGCAAAATTTACGATCCAAAATATACATGAACCAAATAATTCACGGTATTTTTAGTTTTCTTTCGAATTTTCAAACATAATAAAATGCATGTAAAATAATATTTATGACGTTTTGTTGCAGTGATTGATTTTAAATAAAATGTATGTAAATATATTCCCAGATTTATAATTTAGTTTTACTTTTTTTTATAATAATCGTAATTACATATTGTTTAATCAAAATACAAAAAATATTAACGATTACATTACTAAACATCTTTTTTGGTCTCAACTTTAAACAGTAAAAAAACTTCATGAACAATGAAATATTACATTGACATATGTTAGTATCTATTTTAAGGAGTATTATCTCTATTTCATTAAGTCTTCTTTCTTCCAGCCTTCCAACTTCATTTAGCTTACGCCTAAGCGCAATTTCGCCAGCTACTGTTTTATTGTTATACTACTCTAACTATAATAAAGTTAATTACTGTTGCTAACAGTGGATGGGATTGTCATCTACAGCAGCAGTTGCCAACGTTGTTAGCCACTAAACTCAACGGGTCTATATCGCAAACCCAACAACCGAAAGAACGTCTATTGATATCCGGAATGTATCGAAATCCCGACTATATCGAAAATTTTTACAATAACATTTTTAAATTATTTCAGAGCGTAGTCACTTTTAAATTGTTATTGTGTATGCAGTTTACACTTACTTTTTCTTTTGTTCCTTCTGTTTCTTCCCACTTGGCAGAAATTACCATCAGATTTATCATCACTTACTCTTCCCATTGTATCCCTGTTGACGTCATCTGAAGTAATACAACTGTTATCAATAGCTCTATCAATGTCAACAATAATCTCTTCAGTACAACATCTACTGGTCCACAATAAGAGTCATCTAAATTAATAAGATTGTTATCAGTGCTCTGTCACTATCGACAACAATCTCTTCAGATTCAACATCTACTGGTCCACAATAAGAGTCATCTAAATTAATAAGATTGTTATCAATGCTCTATCACTGTCGACAACAATCTCTTCAGATACAACATTTACTGGTCCATAATAAGAGTGTTCTAAATTAATTAATGATTGATATTGACTGCTCTATCACTATCAACAGTTCTTATTTCTTCAAACTCATATGGTTTACAATAGGAGTGATCCAAATTATGAAAATTATTAACAATAATGATGTTACTATCATCAACAATATCAATTTGTTCAACCTCTACTACATCTCAAATATATTCCGTAAACATCGGAAAATCGTACGAAAAAAAGCAAAGTTTTCTTCTGTAAATTTCAGGGAAATGATTATCTATATTTTTCAATGAATCATTCCTCGTAGCAATTCCATTGTTCGCACAATGGAGAATCAACCGGAGAAAATTTTCTCATTGGAATACCATCGCCGCCTTTAATTACCGTAACAATATATAATATATAACACATAAATTAATTGAATTGTACTTAAACATACACATATATATATAAAGAATTTTTTTTTTATTTAAAAAGAGATTTATATCAATTTATTTATTGATATAAATCTCTCCGGCCCTATTTCTACCCCTTTCGGGTTTAACAGCCACCACAAATTTTTGTTGATTTTCGGAATTGAACCAACGACCTTTCGTATCAGATGTTCGTGATACAGGCGACCATAGCATATATAAAGAATAATTGTGGAAATGTTACTTGCTTGTGTTTTTGTATTTAGTTGTGTTGGTTGTGTTTTCCACAATGGCGAAATAGAAATCATAGAAATGGTCGAAATAAGACAATAGAAAAGTTTTTAAAGTTTTATTACCGAAAAGTTCCGTTTGGTTCCGAATTCAACCGATTTCGCACAAAAAATCTTCTTATCTGTCAGACTCTGCTAACATCCATACAACATACAACATACCAACTGATTTATCGTAAAAAAAATGATTACTATTTTGCAGTATCCCTGCCCCTGCTTAGAAGAGCCTTTGCCATTTAGCTGCGTCCTGTTTATACTTTTTTTTATATTAAAGAGATTTATATCAATATAAATTTTTCTCACCCCCTTTCGGATGGCAGACCTGGATAGTTGGCATCATTGTAATATTTTGTAACAGCTGTATTTAATAATTTAGGTTAGTTTAGTGAATTGACAAACAAAGTGAACATTGACAAAGTATATATATATATTTTAAATAAATTATGACTAGGCACGCAAGAAATTGTACAGCTGGTGCTGTATATACATATCACGAGAAAAAGAAAGATGCAGCGGCTTCCGGTTATGGTACCAATTCCAAAAGATTGGGCAAAGACTCTGTGAAGGATTTTGATTCTTGTTCCCTGTCTTTGCAGCCTTGTCGAAATCCTGTCATAACGTAAGTAAAAAGAATAACATATATATACATTTTTCACAAGTCAGCATTTCAGTAAAGATGGTTATTTATTTGATAAAGAAGTTATATTGCAATACATTATCACTAAAAAGAATGAACACAGCCGTAAACTCAAGGAATATGAAAAGCTGAAGAAAAGAGAGGAGGAAGAGCTGCAACAAACTGTTACAAATGAAACCAACAAGAAGATAAACAATTTTGTAAATTCTGAAAATAACATTGTCAGTAAACCAATTGATGGCTTTAAGAATGGTAAGTTTTTCTTAATAATAATTTCAATTTTATCAATAATACATTAATTTTAGATGTTGCTGGTCCCTCCTCAATCTCAAACATGGCTCATGGCAAAGACAAACATTTGCCCAGTTTTTGGGTACCTGGTCAAATAAAAATAGCAGAAAAATCAAAACTGCAAAAACCAGTATGTTATTGTAAATATCTGGAAAATAAGACATATTTAAATATTCTATTTATTTTTAGGAAAATATTATTCCTTGTCCAGTGTCTGGCAAACCAATGAAGGCTAAAGACCTTATAGATGTGAAGTTTACATTAGTGAAGGATCCTGCCGATAAAAAATCATTGATTACAAAGGAAAATCGTTATATGTGTGCTGTAACACATGACATATTAAGTAATTCTGTTCCCTGTGCTGTTATTAGGACTACGTAAATATTTCGTTGCTGATATTAATTTCAAATTACTAAACTATTTTTTTTTCAGTGGGGATGTTGTGACATTGGAATGTGTAGAAAAAATCATCAAGAAAGACTGGATTCATCCCTTAACAAATGCAAAACTTAGAGAGAAAGATATTATTATAATGCAAAGGGTAATTAACAATTATGTTTTTTTACATATATTTCTTAACATATTTTTATCATTTAGGGAGGAACTGGATATTCACAGACAAATGAGAAGTTGGAAGGAAAACATGAAAGACCTGCATTACAAGCTTAATTTTAGTTTATTTCTATAAGCATTGTCATAAAATTTATACACATTAAAAGAAATTCAAAGCCTGTTTGAAAATACTTTCACTTTTTAAATAGTTGGATCCTTCCTTCAAGTAGGGTGGTGTAAATTCTCTATAAGCCAAGCAGATTCTTCTAGACAAAATATCTTCCCTTAATACTAAATGTTCCCATTCATACCTTGCTGAACCATACAAGACTAATAAAGATCGTTGTGGCATTGGTATTCTAACAACTGGTTTGTTATTTGTGTCTTTAAACTCAAATGGTTTTCCATCTTTCAATGTAATACTTGGATAAGTATTAACATCAGTCAAGTTGTATGAATTAGGTTTGGAATTATTAGTCATAGTTAATACAGAATCTGACAATAAATTAACAGTTACAATCCTTTCACCCCAAATCCAGCAGTCATCTACATGTGGATCAATAGAAGCACCTCTGGCTGGGTCATATTCTAGTGAGCATTGTTCTATTGTATGAAAATCAGCGATAATTTCTTCATGTTTGAATTTATCTTGTACAAATTTTGTACCTGATGGGAACCCTCTAAATTGGCCCAACTGAAGTTTTTTCTTCTTAAAATTACATTTGGGACCAAAGTTTTGTTTCCTTCTACCACTTTGAGAAAGATCCCAAGGTATACTATCTACACAATCTAACAATACTTTTTCTTCATCATTTGATAGAAACTCACAATTTATGTAGACTCCAGGAAATTCTATTGGTTCACCTTTATGTTCTGGATGACTTTTGTAATCATCCATGTTCCAACCTGGCCATGCTTTGTTACAGAAAGGACAATATACATATGTGCCAAAATCTTTATTCAGGTCTATAGATTTCTGTATTCCATAGGTGCTCTCGCACAACAAACAAGTCCTACAGCCTTTACAACCACATGGTCTACTAGTATCCATTCTGAGTTATAAATTTACAAAACGATTCACACAAACTAAAAGCGACTAACTGGGATTGACACTTAATATTAGCAATTAACATTAACCTGAGTCATTTTAGGTTAGCAACAATCATGCTATTATAGACCACACGTCATACATATCGTTACGGCAATGAGACTAGATTAAATCGTGATTCAAATAATTAATATATTTTTCCGATTTGCAAACAGTTATTTAGTGTAGTCATTCCACATGGTTTTCTCCTGACCCAGGCTAGATTAGGTAAATCATCGCTTAACAAAAGCGAAATTGTGCAAGATGCGCAAACTAATTAAAACGGCAGGGAAAAAGAAAAATATTTGGAAGTTTTATTTATTGCATAAAAATGTTCAAAATTATTAATCTTATTTATGTTTAACTTCCCAATGTTGGATCTAACACTTGAAACAAATATACATGTATATTTATATACAGTGGAACCTCGCTTAACGAGCTCCTCACATAACGAGCATTTTGCTTAATGAGCAAAATGAATAGTAAGAAAAATCACTTAACGATGAGAATAGAAGACACGGATTGCGCACCTGCTACATCATTTTTAAAACTTGTGTACACATATTGTGTATTTTTTAATATGTTTCACTATACGAATAAAAATCCAGAAATTTTGGAGCGGATTAAACTCGTTAAGCGAGGTTCCACTGTAACTGCTATTTCAGAACTTAGCTCTGTCTATATCTTGTTTGAACATGAACTAAGAAAAACTATTGTAAAATATGTGTTTAATAACGGTGGCAATCGCAAGCCCGAAATCCCGGCTGACTCAAAACCTCGTTGTTCGAAATCCCGACAGTCAAAATCTCCACTATATCGAAATCCCGACAATGTTTTTTATTATTATAAATTTCTACAATAACATTTTTATGGTAGTCGGGATTTCAATAGACGGTCTCGGTTGCCGGGCTTGCGATAAAGACCAGTTTAATAAAACTTAGTAATACATTCCACTAACATATATGACTTTATTGAATTTTGTTTTACATGTTACATAAGCATTGTATCAAACAATGGGATCTATGAATATATGTTTAATTCAACAATATTCTTATAAAAAGGAAGTCTATGTAAAATGGAATACAGAATATTTAAAAAAAAAAATGAACATTAGCTTCAACTAATATAACACTTACGTAGTAAATAGATAAAACAAAATAAATGTTTGTATATAAAACATTTTAAATCTTATATTAATAAATATATTGTAGATTCAATGTATATCAATGGTTTAGTTTACTTCATCTACAAAGGTTGACAACATATTTTTAATGTCATCATTCAAAACTTCTGAGGAAGTCTCATCTTCCTTCTTGCATTCAGAAGTATTATCTTCGTGTCCATTTTTAGTGGGTTTGGTTTCTTCCTCTACTAACTTTATCTTTTTAGCTGGCACATGAGTATCGTCATCGCAGATAATTATATCGCTTAGTATTTTTACCTTTTCACACTTTTTGGACATTTGCTCATCAGTGTTAATTTCATCAACCAGAATAGTCACATCTGAACTTTTTTCAGATGCCGATGGACTGGAAGCAACTTCAACCCTAAATTCTGCTTCCGTGTCGTTCTGCATAAAACTATTTGTGACATCGAAGATCTGCTTGGTATCTATTTTGCAATAGTTACTGCCTTCCTCTATAGTTTCATCTTCGTTATTATCTTCGATGATTTCTATTTGTTCATCGGGATTAATAATATCTTTTATAATTATCGTTTCCTCTACATCCATTTCCTTGTCATCATCAACTTGAATAGTATTTGGCTTTGCGGATTCTTTGCTTTCGCTCAGTGAAGTCATATATAAAGAACCATTTACGGGCTGGCAAATCTTTTCCAGTGCAGCTAAACCTTCTGAACAAACATCAGAAATGTCAGTATCTTCACTTCTTTCACCCAAATATAATAGATTTATTGCAAAGCCAATGTCAAAACTAAATTTAGTTTGATCAAAAATTGCAATAAGTACTTTATATAACTGAAGTCTGCACCTTATATCGTTATATGGAGGATCATAAATTTGTACACTTATATCTAATAAGCTTTTGACTATTGTTTCAAAGAGTAGCTGAAAGTATTTATGATTTTAAATAATTCCATTAATTAATAAATAAATACTTACAGAACATGTAGAAGCATTCACATTCAATGTGACTTTCTTTAATAATAATTCTAAAGTATTTAGAGCTTGAAAACACACAGACTCTAAATATTTTTGCTCTGAAACTGTTGATGATTTCTTGCCAATCTCTGTGGAATTGATTATTTTGTCCTGTATAGCTTTGGATTTTGCTTTTTTAGATTTACTATCCATATTAGAAAACTAGAAAACAAAATATTAATTGAGTTATATCGACAACGAATATTTATAAACTCACGCTCAGTACTAAAACTGATTTATTTGGTGTAATGTCAGCAATAATACTTTTAAGTATTTTTTCATAAGATTGCAAATCAATTTGCTCCCCTGAGTTTCTGATCCAGAATTTTAATACTTCATATATAGATAGCTTGTATTCACTAAAAATAATCAGTATATAATAAAATCATATAATAAAATATATAAAGATAAACTTACGAGTTACGTTTGAAGCAATTGCATGATTTGGTTTTTAACAAACATTCTTGTAACATTTTAATTGTTGAGAAACGTATGAAATTGTATTTCAAACTAAAAATATATAAATGAAATAACTGTATACTTAATACACTTATAATATTTACCAATTGATCATAGTGTTTAGCAAATGTAACAAATCAACTTGATGTTGTATTATTATAGTACTGAATAAATTGCTCTCAACTTCAGTCTTGTTATAGTGAATGTGGACTGCTAAACCTCTTTCAATTATACTTAATAAAATTTGAGGATTGAAAGTTTTTCTTTCAGTAAAATTACATCTGAAAAAATATAATTAATATAATTATTACATTAAATGAGTTATAGAAACTTACTCAAATTTTGCTGTTAAATATTGTATTACATTTCTCAATCTTCTAGAATAAATTCTATATAAGTTTAGGTAATCCAAATTGCTTGCTGGTTGTCTGAACTCAAATATATTGGAGTTATCAGTTGTATGATAATCTTGGAACTCAACAATGTCTTCAAAAATAACATCATAGACAGAATTTAATGTGTTGTACAGTTTCTCCACATTGTCACTAAAATTTTTTATGTGAACACTCCCAGATGGACCAGCGCCACCCACCTATGATGATAATAAATATATTTATAAATATAATAAATTATTTAGATTTTACCTGATCCAAGTAGTGAAAACACTTAGCTGCTTCTTCCACAATGGAGACAGACACAGAAGCATCAAGAAATTCCAGTAGGTATTGTTCAATTTTCTTCTTGTATGCAATACAAGCACTTTGAAAGTGTATTAAACATGATTTTAAACACCCTATAGCATGTAAAGCATCATGCGTTTTTATATTCACTGATACACAAGCTTCAACAATTTTTGGTAGCAAGTTGGAAACCATTATTTTACGATAATCTTCATTTTTATAACAATAGCCAATAAGTTGAGCTGAAATATAAAGCACATTGTAGTATATATTAAATAAGAGTTTCTCATCAAACTTACTTAAAAACTGTAGTTTCTTTCCATGTAATGGATCATGCTGATGATGAGATACTGCATAGCTGGTCCAAGTAACACAATTTTCTCGTAAAATTTTATCAGATATGTCTGTTATAATTTGTGATAATATATGGAAACCTTTATCACGAGTTAAAGCATTTGAAATATACTTATTTAAGTATATAATAACTGGTTTTGCAGATTTCTCATCATACAACTGTTCCTTTATAGTTAGCATCAATGATTCTGCATATGATACATCATTTAAATTGGCAATGCACAACAGATTCAGGCAATCTTCGACTTCAGACATTGTACACACTTATAATACACAAATACAACACGTGCAATTAGCGGTATAAACACTCGAATAACCTAAAAATACTTAAAAATTTGACGGAACAAACTGTAAGTTGCTTAGCAGACAAATTTTGACAATTCAACCAACTTTACTTCACTGTACTTCACTGCCTATAGCAATCAATAATAGCCAACATAGGAAATAAAAAACTTTAACCAATAGCAGGCAGTTAATTGTTTTGCGATTATTTCAAACCGGTGGCAATCGCAAGCCCGACAACCGAAATCCTGACAACCGAAATCCCGGCAATCAAAATCCCTACTATATAGAAATCCCAACAATTTAAAACTTAATAAGATTATTAATTGTTGTTATTTATTGTTAATAACATACACTAATTTTATTATAGAATATTTCTTATTCTTAAGTTTTATAATGAATAAGTCAACGTAAAAAAAAATTACAATAATAATTAATATTATTTATTGTTATTAAGAATAAATAACAACAATTAATAATCGGGCAAAAGAACAATCGACCTAGGTCTTAAAAATATTTTTTTCAGTATCCGTCGTACCTATTAAAATATAGTAGAATAATTTAAAAATGTCATTGTAGAAATTATAATAATAAAAGGTACTCGGGATTTCGATACAATCGGGATTTCGAACGTCGGGCTTTCAATAGACGGTCTTTCGGTTGTCGGGCTTGCGATATAGACCCAGCGATGCTGTAGTTTAAATCAGCGGTTTCCAACATGGGAGGCGCGCCTCTCTGTGTAGGCGCAAACTATTTCCAGGAGAGGCGCCAAATTTTTTTAAGAAATTAATTTTTATACCATAATATCTTGAAATAAATAAAACGTGTCTATATTATTTAATCTAGGCGTAGTAGCATAAAGGTGGGAACCCGCAGGTTTAAATTAAAGGAATTATGTAAATGCAACATAAATGTAAATTATTTTATTTTAATTATTATAATAGTATCCTATTTGTTCAAATGTAAATAATTTATGATTTATATACATAATGCATAATTTATTTTATATACATTTGTTTAAAAGAAACCCAACCAAGGGGGCATTGTCCATGGTTCAGTAGTAGTTTTGTTAGAATCAATAGTAGGTTCCTCAGTAACTATTCCAGATTCCTCGCTGCTAGCTTCTTCAGTTACTTCAGTTGTAGTTTCAGAAGATTCTTCATTGCTAGTTTCTTCAGTGACTGAACCTTCCTCGCTGCTACTTTCTTCAGTTACGGCACCTTCCGTTGTAGTTTCTCCGGTAACAGTTTCGGTAGATTCCCCGCTGCTGCTTTCTTCAGTTACGTCACCTTTCGTTGTAGTTTCTTCGGTAACAGTTTCGGAAGATTCCTCGCTGCTGTTTCCTTCGGTTGTAGTTACAGTACCTTCTGTTGTAGATCCTTCTGTGACAATTTCCGAAGATTCTTCGCTGCTGCTATCTTCGGTTACCGTTGAACCTTGGGTAGTTTGTTCCGGGCAAACTGGATCATTTGGCCAATCGCAACGTTTGTCAACATTATTCCACTGCAAATTTGCAGGACAGTCCATTTGAACCAATTTTCCATTGTCACAAATTAAGAAAGTGTGGCAATTTTCTTTGTTAGCATACAATTGGTTGTTGATGCATTTCTCCGCGTATACGGATAGAGAAAATGCGCAAAGTATAGCTGGAAACAAGCAAAAAAAATAAATGTATTTATCACAAATTTTCTTGAAAATTAAACTTACAGAACCAAAATAGAGACTTCATTGTTGTTCAAGTCGTAAATAATTATGAAGTGAAAGTTCTAAATTACATTGTTTATATATGAAAAGTTATTATCTTATCTTAATTCTACATCTAACGGATTTGGGATTAAGTAGTTAATAGATTTAAAAAAATAGTATTTAATAAAGAGAAACCCAATATAATGGAAGAAAAGGAAGAGATTGAGTTTCCCGGCGAAAATCCCGTCAACCCCTTGAACGCAGCTAGTTTTACGTCACTGCGCGCTGGAAAATCAATAGTGTTCTAATTTGAAGAGTACAAGAAAACACACACCACAGAATGGCATAGATAAATCTTGCACAAGTTTCCGTATTATAAAGTGCAAGTACACAAAATCTGCAAAATGGAAGAAGCGGGCTACTACAGACTGAAGAAAAAGAAGAGGACCGAACATAGTCCGGAGAACTCGTCTAGCCAAATGAACAACATCTCCAATTTTCACATGTCCAACATATCACCACCAAAGGACAATTACAATATTATATACTTATCATTCGTATTAGGAGGAGCTGGATTTCTGTTTCCATATAACAGGTACATTACAATTACTTTATTGATACCACGATAAGAGAATCTATTTACAAGTACCAAATAAAAAAACAAGAAAAAAAAATCTAGATGCTAGATATTATTTTTGTATAAATACTTATTTTTTTTAGTTTCATAATGGCTATGGACTTCTTTAAGAACCGATACTCCGGAGCACCGGTTGTCTTTGACATGTCTTTGATCTACATCTCAACAGCTTTCGCTACAGTTCTAACTAATAATTTTCTTGTGGAATCCTACAGTTTAACTGCAAGAATTAATTTTGGTAAATTCGATTTGAAGACTTGCAGTTATTGGTGTTTGTATCATGTTATTATTAATTTCAGGGTACATTATTTCATTCTTCACTCTCATATTCGTCGTCACTTGCGAAGTTTATTGGGAAGTTTTCGGGGCTGGTGTATCCTACATGATCAACTTGGTTGCTGTTGCTACAGTAGCTGTTGGATGTACAGGTATTTTAACATTTTTTTTAATTTATTATAATACAACGCTCTAAAATTTATATATAAAAACAACAAGTTGTTGACAAACTTAGTATGCACTTTTACTCTTAAGCTTTTGAATACATTTTTGTTTTTCATTTATGAATTATCAGCATGACCTAATATAGAAAATTAAATACATATATAATAAAGAGTTATAAGGGATTAACATATCAGCGATAAGTGAACAATTAATTTTAGTATTTTTTTCGTGATCTGACGCACAATTTGGGGAATCAATAGGTAACGAGAAATATTCTAAAAAATACATTATTAAATATATACATCAAAAGCAGTTATCACGAGTTAAGAGATAATATAATTTATTCTTTGAAAACGAAACAGCTTATTCTAATTGATTATATTTTGTTTATTAAATATGTTAAGCTACAACAATTTGTTATAATCATCTATGGATTACAACGTAATCATTAAATTTTTAAGTACGTTTACGTCTTTTTATAATTTTGCACAATCATATTAGTTGTAATAAATGGATTTAAAACATACTCAATTCGAATGGAGATAGTATACAATTTTAGAAAAAATGAACAAATATACGTGTGACAGACCATATAAAATTATCAATTATTTTGTATATAAGTTCATAATTTGGTGGGGGATAAAAGTTATACATTAATTTTCTGAACAAACACATATATTTTAACTCCATCATCTTAATGACATTTATATATTAGCTGCAAAGTATAAATTTAAAATTTTATACAATTATTTGTACATAGTTACAATTATAAAAAATACATTTTTAATATAAACAAAGTATTTAAAATCCCTTGCACATATCTTTTAATAAATATAAGTAACAATTTTTGAAATTGTTTAGTGTTAAATAATTTGTTTGTATTTCCTAAGGAATAGATGATTAAAACAATTTTGTATTTAAAAAAAAATAAAGTTATTCTTTTTTTAAGATATTTAAATAATAACATTTAACAGACTGTAGGTTTTTCCGACCGATTCAAAACATATTTTTTGAATCAGTATTTCACAATCGAAAATTTAATGTATTTACTATAAACGACAATATTTTATTGTTTGAATCTTTTGAGTGCAAAATTTTAACAAAAAATCTATTTGATTAATACTTGAGATTATATTTCTAATCAGATTATTCTAATACCAATTTTAACTATCACAAATCATTATAATGTACACTCCAGATACCACTTTTATATTTTGCATTGCATGGACCGCAGAGTAATTTGAATATACAGTGGAACCTCGCTTAACGAGTATAATCCGTTCCAAAAATTCCGTATTTTTACTCTAATAGTGAAATACTCGTATAGTGAAACAATTGTAGAAAATGATGTAGCAGGCACACAATACGGGACTTCTCTTCTCCCCGTCGTTCGTTAAGCGAGTCATTTTTGATACAATTAATTTTGTTCGTTAAGCGAGGTTCCACTGTATTTGCAATTTTAGTTTTTATTATATTCTGATTCTACGATTCTACTTTTTTGCAATTTTTGCCTTATTAAGTAGCATGTTTATAAAAGATCTAATGTAAAAAGAAGTGTATATATTTCATACATACACTGCACTATAGTACGGTTTGAAAATTTCAAAACTAAATTTTAATTGATTGAAAAATAAATATACGAAATTATTTTTTATACACAAATGATCGTTTTTCTCTTTATTACTTATTTGAATGCAGTTTTAAAGTCCTGGATCAGTCCGATTTCAAACTATTTACAGAAGTAATTGTGTTTTCTATTCCTTTTTAATTATGATGTATAATAACATAAATAGAATTTCTTAGTAATGATATTTTTTGTAAATTGAAGGAGGCGAAAAGCTTAATGTTTAAAATTTGCTACTAATAATTAACTATAAATATTTTCGGTATCAAATTCTGAACTTAAAACATTATCTCTTACCTTTAATATTTGACTAAGACCTATATAGCCCTTTGTATTTAGTTATACAATAAATCTTGTTTATTATTATTATTTGCTTCATCGTGAGAAAATGTTAATTCAAATATGAAGCTAAAAAAATATAGAAATAATGTGTCATGTTTTAATTGCTTTGAATGTAAATAAAAAAACATTTGATTATACGCGCTACAAGTTGAGTAAATACGTTATTGTTTGCTGGAATGTCGTTGAATTAGTCAATGAATTAATATTAAATCACGATATAAGATCGTGTTTCACTTCTGTGTATTTGAAAATCTCACCGACACATGGAATTACGATAGTTTGATGCGTTGTAATTTATTGGCTTGGTAGACGAGAAATGAGATAAATTTGCTGCGCCCAATAATGAACGATTTAAAAAAAAAGTCACATGTGAATGAAAGGTTTCAAAATATGATGTAATTTACATGAAACAATACAGACAAGATAAGAATACTACCGATAACAAGATTAAGATGATGAGGTTTGGCCTCAACTACTAATATGTCTTCACTGGTTTGTGAATCTTTGTTATTAATCATTAAAAATATTGAGTGTTAGTTTAGTAAATAGTTACTAAACATTCTTGGAATCTATATTATAGTATTAATATGATTTTTTGAAAAATTTTCTTGAATAGAAATACGCACAAAAATATGTTGAAAAAAAAACTTATATTGAAAAGATTGAATACTAAATAAGAAACAATAGAAAAAATTCATTAGATTATAATTGATTTATATATGTTTCAATTTGAGCAATTAGAAATTGGCCACATTTTGCGTGAGGTACATGTTTTATTGTATCGAATTATGTTTATTGAAGAGGGATTTAGGACGGATATAGATTGTAAATTATATACGATAAAAGGTCAATTATTCAATTCTATTGTAAAAATACGTATTTTTTTATTGTTTTGTTAGTTGAAACAATGTTCAAATGTTGCTATTATTAAAAAGCACTTTAAGGAAATTTAAACTATTAAAACTATAAAATCATGGAAGTGCGATTTGTGCTACACATTGGTGGATTCAGACATGATTTCTAACCACGCTGCTGCTTTCTTCAGTTATGGACACCAAAAAGAGTTAGCAAAAGGCTTCCAAACAGTGTTCCCCAAAATAGTGTTTGTTTGTTTTATAGATTCTTACCCACTAAAACCTCTCAAATTCTTCATAAATCATGCAGTACTTTTATTTAATCATTGTTGATTGTATTTGTGCACTCGCAAAGTACTCTATGTTAGTGTCTACTACAACTCTCCATTGGCCTTCTTCAAGGACGCACACTTGATACGATACAACATTGTCCCAACGAAAGTGTCTGGTTTAAGCAATATCCCAAGATCCGCGTTTTGCTTCATCTTCTGTACCTAAATAAAGTATGCTCCGGTCTTCCATCTTCTTTGCAGTTCTTTCAATTTAATCTTCATCCATGTCTAGAAAGCACCTCAGCACAGGTGAAAAAATCGCTGTACTTTCTGGATACCTAAAGTCCATCATTCCTGCCCCCTTGTCAACATTCTAACAGTTCTATGGATTTTTTTTTTCTTAAAAAATATTTTCTTAATTTTTATGAGCATTAACAAGTATCAGAAGAGCGGAAACTTAGATGGATGATCTGCACCATTTGTAGATCTAATACTGAACATGTTTAACAGTGTTGATAATATTATAAGAAATAGAAATAATAGTAGTACCTATTACATCATAATAATAATTTTATTTATTGAATACATCTTTGCAGTTCAACAGTCCAGTTTCTATGGTTACACCAGTATGTTACCAGCCAAGTACACGCAGGCCCTGATGGTCGGAGAAAGTAATTATTCTAAAATCATGTTATAATTGTAATGCATATATTTTGAATGAATTCATGATAATAATATGATGCAAATGTGCAATATTAATGAGATATAATTTTTCAGGTGTTTCCGGTGTGTTTACGTCGATTGTTAGGGTGGTGACAAAACTGTTGATCACGGAAATAGTGGGAAGCACAGTCTACTTCTTCCTCATTTCCATCATATCGGTGGCATGCTGTTTCATAGGTTACCATGCTATACGGAAGAGCGACTTTATACAATTCTACATAGCACTTTTCGATCGAGCTAAAACCAAAATTGTTTTGGAACCTACGGAAGATGGAGTAAGTATTTCACTCTTAGTTTCATTTATAAAATAAATATATATATATATAATATTTTACATAAACAAAACATAATTAATATTTTGAAACGTAAATAATCCACTATTTATGAACAAAAAAATTCCAAGACAATTTTTTAAAATAAACTTAATCCAATTGGTTTTATAAATATAAGTAATTAATCTGTATGTTGTATTGTTGCCAATACAATTAATCAATATGTTGTTGAATTTTGTTGACATCGAAAACGCTGTTAATTAATAATTACAAAGTGAATATTTATCAGTAGACAGCAGATTTACATTTTTGTTAATCTTATTTTAATTCCATATCATAAATTATATATCCAATCGTTATCGAGGCTTACCAACTATATGCACTAGGTGTAGTGGTTTAGTAAATATAAATAATTAAAAATTATATAAAAAATCATATGCAAGCAGGTTATCAATTACCGTCAAATTCTATTGATTTATAGTTATTCATTGTTGTTTGCAATTGTATTCAGAAAAAAAATTATAGCACGTAATTTTCGTACTGTAGTGAATCCGCATTAATCGAAACCGCACTATGCGAGGTATTACTATTTAATTCTATTAGTTCAGAAACCTCAAATATTTGCCAAAAACATAGCATACTATTATAATTAAACATTTAAACCTTAAAATTAACAATTCTATAGAAATTAATAAATGCAGCTGGGCAAAGGGCTAATGACTTTATACATTCGGCCCCACATTTAATATATTTTATGTTTTTATCTATTTCCATAACAGCTATTAATATAGCCAATTAGCCTTTATCTAAATTAATCATAATATTTAATAAAGTGTTGTGTTCTTTTGTCTGGTATTTTATTGTTAGAAGTTGGATTCATATAAAAAAAGTGATCATATTGACTCAGCTCTTACATATAATAATAAAATATTAATGGGAACTGAAATGTGTGTTATAAAAAAAAATAAGATAACATATCTATAGTTCATAAAATGTTATAATACCAATTTACAGCTATACCTCTCATAGTACTGCTTCGATCAGTCCGGATTAACTATCCGGTTGAAAATTTCAAAACAAATTGAGTCTCTTTTTTTGGATTTATATTTGTGGAACAGATTGTGCGGGTAAATGCGAAGTGTTGCGATATTCTTCATATGCGCAACGAATGTTTATGTAATTTATATTTTTGATATTTTGAAATAAACAAGAATATATTCGCATTATGTACATTTGTCAATTAATTACCTTGTTTATATCAATAATTATAAATCTGCAATTGTATATAATCATTATATTTTACGACATAATGAATTGTTTCATAGTAAAAGAATATTGTTGTATCTTTTTAGTCAGATCCTGCAGATTTGCAATATGGAATGTTGAGAATTCAGAATAGTCCGCCAGCCAACACATCATTGTCTTTTACGAATCCTTTATACGAGCCAGCAGCAAAACCATTGCATTTCAAAGTCGAAGACTTCGTAGTTCGCGGACGATGTGTACGCCTTGGAGGAATGCCAGATATAAAACGTATAGAAACAATCGTAATAAAATATTACAAAAATATTACAAATTTCTATTTGTTTCAGGTGGTTTTCAAGCGAGAATTGTCATTACCAAACAAATTTATCCCTACATGATATCTATTGGTTTGGTTTACTTCGTGACGCTCTGTCTATATCCGGGTCTTGCGTCGGAAATAGTCAGCTGCAGATTAGGTTCATGGATGCCAATCCTGATGATGGCTATATTTAATGGGGCCGATCTGCTGGGCAAGCTCATGTTCTCGTCGACTTCGATTTGGTCTGAGAGGAAATTAATCCGATGGTCTTTGCTAAGGATTCTGTTGATTCCCATGATGTTGATGTGCACGGTGCCCCTCCGTGACACCATATTCACTGCTGAGATATTCGCATTTAGTCTGTCTCTGTTGATTGGTCTCACAAACGGAATCTTGGGTAGCATTCCGATGATCCAAGCACCAAGCAAAGTAGCCGATTACAACAAAGAGTTAACAGGTGAGTTAACTTTTATTCTCTCTTTTCATTCGATTATTGACCATTCTATCATATATATTATGTACAGTGGAAACTCGCATAACGAGCGGAACGGATTAAGTTCCAAAAGAAAATCGAAGATGGTTAACATATTCAAAAATACACATAATATGTGTACACAAGTTTTGAAAATTATGTAGCAGGTAGTTATTCGAAATGTCGCTTGTTAAGCGAGTCATTTTCCTTGCAAATCATTTTGCTCGTCAAGCGAAATGCTCGTTATGCTGTATTTTAAAATGATCAAGCGGATAATATACGAAATGCGCAGAATTTGGAATGAATAAATAGAATATTCAATATTTAAAGTATCAAATCTCCAAAGTTGGATTAGGTTATAATGGGCAGTAAGTTAGGTTGCATTGACCTAAGCTAGGTATTGGCAATCCGCGGCTCCGGAGCCACATGTGGCTCTTATTATGACCGATTTTGCGGTCGTAAATTAAAAAATATTTGAACACGGAATCCTATTTTGAAATTAGTTATTATCATATAAATTCTAGTCAAATTTCCCGGGATAGAACCGATATAATTATAATTTATTAAATAATTGCAAATATATTTTTATGGTTTTCGTATGGTGCAATGATATAATTAATAAATAATTTTTTTTTTCAAATCATAGGATTATTATAATGGCTCAAAAGGATTATGTTAAGTATGATTAATTTCTGTTAGAAATCGTTAAAATCTTTTATAAGTTAATAATTTGTGACCTTTAATACATTTATAATTAAAACAGAAAATGATTGACATTAGCAAAAATTAATTAATTTACAGGTTTACTTTTTACTAAAAATTGAAGAGGACAACTCATCACGCATTGTCTATGGTCGATTGTATTAGAAAATCTAATACGAATGTGGTTAGTTTGAAACTCATACCAAATAAAAAAAAATCTAATAAGCACTAAAAGGTTACTAGAAATAGGGATGAAATCATTTAAAATATAACACGACTGATTTAACGATTCACAAGTATATATGTCACCACAAGAAAAATCGAGAAACAGTAAATAAGTTGTTGACCGTATCTATTAGATGACTCATTTAATAATAATTTACACCATTATTCAAACATGTGATCGTGTATGTTGGGTTACATACACTACTATAATACTTTGTTTAAATATTTTTAATCTTGTGTTTTTTTTACAAACACTCTTGCTAGGTTTACTTGCTACAAATACTTAATAAATGCAAATTATGTATATATAAATTTAAACGGTCATACATTCTTTGGTATTTGAAATTGTATTTTGTATTATATTCTCTGATAAACTATTCTAAAGATGAAAATGAAATTGTAATTACTTGAATTATGCAAAAACTTATCTTTAAGATTGACTTAGATCAAAATATCTATTGTAATTGTCTATTCTGAATTATTTAGGCAAAACAATATAAACTCTTTTCATTAATTAATCTTCGTATTTGTGTTAATATAGCAATAGAGACTTAAATAATATTTTGTAATAACATTTGGCCAAAGAGTTAATTTTATAAATTTAAATTTACTGTTGTTTTTATTTCATATTTCTTATAATTTAATCATCGTCTTCTGTTATTTCTTTTAATAGTATCAAGAAAATAAAAGTTTTATACTGCAATACCTCGCTTAGTGCTTATAATTGTTTTCGCCAATATACATACAAAAAATAAACTGCACAAAACATGAGACTTGACTTAATTCATTTTGCTTTAAATATTACGCATTAAGCGAAATGAATGTCGAAATACTACGATTGTAAACATGATCGATCTTGGATATTTTTTTCAATTAATAATTAATTAGTGCAGCACTTTGGCTTTGACGTTCAACTTGACGGAGATTCGCTATAATTTGCGATTCGCATTTATTATCTAAAATCTTTCCATAATATCTTAAATTTGTTTATTTCTCACGTATATTATGTTCCAATAAACACAAATACATAATTTATTCTACGTCAATTACTATAATCTAAAAAAATAGTTTTCTGATTTTGAACACTTGAGTCGCATTTCACATATCTATATTTTATTAATGTATAATAATTCAATTTGTTTTTAATTAATATATTTTGAAACAGTTTATAACTCCAATTTTTTAAATATTTACAATCCTAATTAAATTTATATATTGATTGACTGAACGAAAAATCAATTATACATATTTTTCTACATCTATTACATAAATATAATATCTAATTTGAAGGCTAATTCTTTTATTTTAATGTGAACTTAAGTATTGACCCATATTCTTTAATATTCTTGAAAAATTATTGATAAAAAATTAAATTAATGTTTTAAGTTTAAATTTGTCTATACTTAAGCTATCTTGTGTACAAGAGAATACAATCTTTATAAGTCAACATTTGATGAAACTTTCTGAAACTTCTAAAAATGATAAATAAAAATGTGGCATTAAATTTTACACTACTTGATAACATTAACTTGAAATATTGGATTTTCAGATATAGTTAGTTTATTTTATTAATAGATGTTGCTGTATGCCCATCAGATTCTCTCAATGTATCAATCAATGTACAGGTTCATGTTTCTATATATTTTTGTTAGAGTAAGCCAATGAAATGTATATTTTAGGAACTCCTTGACATTTCCTTAGTCATTTAAATATTTAAATATATATATATACATCAATTTCAATTAATGTACTTGCGGGTTAAATTAAACTTAGTAAATATCCAAAGTCTTCTGTTCAAAACCTTAAAAAAAAGTTCTGTGGATAAGGGAACCATTAACTTAAGAGTATCTAATTTGAATAACACTGTTTGGAGGGCCTGTGTTAACAATATATGGGAAGCCCTACACTAACACTGTTTACGTCTTTCCAAAATAACCCAAATTGATTCAAATTTCTGTTATTTGTTTTACCACAAAGTGTGCTTTTTTTATTGACGGCAAATTAAATAAAGTAGGATTTAATACAACATTTGTAGTTATTATCTACAATTACTTAAGAAGCCGATATTAAAATAAAGACATTTATAGTTTGGGAAATTGAAATCTCTTAGTTTCAACTTTCTTAATTGACTGCTTAATAATTTTCATTAATATCTCTTAAACGAAAAAGATGTTAAGTAAATAGAAACTGAAACTAGATCTAATGTCACTATAAATTAAGTAGATTATCTAGGAATTGTTTTCCAAAAAGTGCAATTAGTAAAAATATAATCTGTTTACTACTTTTGGTGTATCAATATGCTGACTATTTATTAACAAATAATTGAAAAGGAGCAGAGATAAAGTTATTATCACATTAACATTATGGTGAAAGGTTGTAATCGAAAAAAATAGACTGAAAACGATTTCGATACATGCACATCTAATACAATCAATCCGAAAATATTTTCGGTTGGTCGGGTCATGATTGCAAAATTTCAATTTTGATCAGTGTTGTAAGCGATAAAATTATTAAGTCATTTCAATAAGATCATTCGACAAGTGGTGTATGTTATTTTCGTTTCGACCAGAGATAAAAAACTGCAAAAAAATTCTGCTGAAGCCGATATCTTGTAAAAATAAAAATAATAATAAATATTTTAAATCAAAATACGAGAAAATTATCAGCCGGGATTCTTCCGATTTGATAGAACAACAATTTCGCCGGCCGGTACAATCATGCGATTATTATATAATTTTTTTTATTATTGTTGTAATCATAACAAACGAGTAGGCTTTATTTATTTATTTTTTATCCTTTCATCGAAACTTATCGCGACTACTCATGTTTCGTTATCGGAGAAGGTCAATGTTAATAAAAGTGTTACCATGGTTACACTTTATACAGAGAATGTAACGATTTTATTGTTTATAAATATTATCGGAGCATTGTTGTATCAGGTGATGGCAAATGCATGTTTCCCTATGATTGAGGGGGACCACCACTGATATCAACAGTGATTTTCGAGATAATTTTGAGAGTTACGAACAAATTTAAATATAATACAAATGTATGGGTAAACTTTTGGTTTAAACCTTATTGCCGCAGAAACATTAAAAATATTTTATGAAGCATTGTTGTAAAATACAAAACAAACTTTTATCAATTCTTATATCTCATTATTATTGTTGATATTATTGTTTCGTTGATAGCCATACAACTCAACTACAACTATTTTATATAATTATACATTCTTCTCAATACAGACAGGAAAACTATACAACTGGTCTTCACTTATTTATTATTAGTAACATTGAAAAAATGTATTTCGTCTCGGTTATACAATTATTTGTATAAATGTAACTGTTATTTTATATTATTAGTCAGAGAGTATAAAAGTCGAAAATTTCTACAATAACATTTTAAAATTATTTCGGAGCATAGTCACCAAGTGCTACATTTTAATTATTAATAACAATAAATTATTATTAATTTATTTGATTTTGTTGAATTATTCATAATATACCTTAGCAATATGAATTAATCTGAAATACAATTATGTTATTAATTGTTATTTATTATTAATAACAATTTAAAAGTGACTACGCTCGATATAGTCAGGATTTCGAAAGTCGGGATTTCGAACGTTGGGATTTCTGTTGTCGGGCTTTCGATTGCCACCGATAGCTATCACATAGTGGCCATATCAATTATTATTGATTATAGAGAAAATAAATTGAAAAGCAATAGCCCTTTGTATCAGTATACTTTTTTTTATTTAATATATATATATTTATTGTGTTCTTTTTATTTCTGTATATGTTTTTTTGTACGACTGATGCAATAAACATTATTATTATTTAAATTGAAAAGAAGAATAGTTTAATATATTATTTTTCCTATCACAAAAAAAACAATTGTGCGTGACTAATAATTCATAAGCTTTTCAATTTCATATGTACAAATGCAATGGAAGGGAATTGTATAATATTAATAGTATTTATTTAGATTTTGTTTGATTTTAATATTTAAATTTATTTTTATGCAGTACGACTGCACTGCAACAGCCTTGAGTTTTTACCTATTGCCTATTTTCAGTTTTGCATCTATACACAATATTTATATTATTCAGATAATCCTTCCAATGTATGTTACACTTTATTAGAGAAAAAGTACAAAACCGAATAAAGGATTTTTATATAACTGCACAAAAATAGTGTTATGTTATTATAGTAAATTTAGAAAAAAAAAAAACAATATATCATGATTTTTTAGTAAAACATATAAAAAATAAGTTTTAAGAAGTTATAATCTGAATGAAAAACTAATAATAATGAGATGAACTTCATTTTTTTTGTGTGAATAGGTTCATATGACCTCATGGACCACTCAAATTATTGTATCCCACGGACCAGTAAATTAAAAATTTTGTTTTTATTTTTCATAAAAATATGAAATTATACTTATGCTTGTAAAGGCTTGTTATACAAGGCGAAAATATCAATAAAAGTAGAATACAAATATAGATTAAAAATTGTAAATATATTCAAATCACTCTGCGGACCACCAAAATTAACTAGCGGACCATCGGTTGGCGACCGCTGTATTAGACGAAATATATATATATACTTTGTTAGTATTAAGAAAGGTCATAATGAAATTGATTAAACATATAAAAGAAAAGTAGTTTTTATCATGTATTTTGAAATGCAACCACTTTATAAGATGATAAAAAATACTGAATAGTGTTATTAAAGACACTAATGGAATTCAGTAAATTAAAGTAAATTAAAGAAAAATAAACATATTCCACGAAATGATTACATTGTTATAATTTTTTATTAAAAAAGAAACAGGGTTTTAATTGACATTACCAAGTAGTTTTTAATGTAAAATTGAGGATGCGATTATTACAAAATTAGAATACAGTCGATTCTCGCTTAACGAACATCATTCGTTCCAAAATTTTCGGATTTTTAATCCTATAGTGAAACAATTTTCCCCTTATAAACTAATGTAAAATACGATAATGCGTTTCATGTCGGAAAAAAAGTATAACTTGGTCTCGATTTTTAATGATTTTGCTTTTCATACCTATGATATCTATTCGTAGATATACAAGTGTTATTAAATTTTGCACAAAATAACTTGTCCGAACACAAGTTTGGAAATATGTGTGATCACAAACAACACTACGATGCAACTAGAATGAGTACTAACACTAGGAACTGTTTCGATTCATTGAAGTGATTTTACATCTGATTCCATATAAATTCCATATTATTATTACTTATATCGATCCGGTATCTTAGAGGAGGTCTTTTTATAATTTGTTTATATATTATAATAATGGTTGGACACAATAAATGTTTGTCTTGCTTTTACTGCAAACAGAAATTATATTTTCAAAGTATAATTCTCTATAAATGAAGATGGCAAAACAAATCGTGGAACCTCGCTATAAATTGTAAGAAAAATGACTCCAAAATGGAACGCATTGTCGTATATAACATTAGTTTACATTTAAGCGAATTACGTTATGCGAGGTGCTCATTAAGTGAGGTTGCATTTAAAATTCAATAAAACTATTAAATATTCCAGTAGGAAAATTATTATTTAGCTAAGATTATATTTGTATTTAGAACGTTTTCCGATTGGAAATCATTCCGCTCACTGTTTATTTTATTTTGTTTTCTTCTTTTTTCTCTTGACCAAAAAATATTTGATTATTGCCAGAATGTGGCAGATTGCAAAAATAAATAAAGGTTATAAAGAAAACTATTTCATTTATTTAATATTATTTCAAATGCTAGAAGTCCATTTAAATAGATAGGACCAGTAAGGGAATTTCCTTTAAATGTATACAGAATGTTGGTATTTTCATACTTTGTAAAAAAATATAAACATTTTTAAACCCTTCAAAATTAAAGAAAACTGACTCTGAACATTAGATTGTTTACAATTAAGATTAATTAAGAATTATAAATTTAATATGAAAATTGCGGTTTGTTTTTTTGTGTTAGTAATTAAATTAAATTTTAATAATGTTTATGTTTAATTTTCATATTATGGATTTAAAAATACTAAATAAAGACGTAATATTTATACTCTCATTTTACGATTCTCTGATATAAAAAAAAATTTACGTCACGAGAATATTTTGATGTTAAATGTTACGTATTTAAGTTTTAATCAGTATCTACTTACGTCTGCTTAATTAAAGTCTATCGTGTAAACAAGAAGTACGTAGGAAAGTGCAATTGACGGCGTAATAGTTCTGCGCAATAAGATACGATACATATCATTATTATATTTCTATTGCAGGTAATTTGATGACGTTGATGTACAACTTCGGATTGATATCTGGTTCCTTGATGGGCTACCTGATCCAGTCCTTACTTCCGACGATGGACGACAACCATTGCGGTTTCATAACAATTCAGCCGACCACCGTCCTACCATTTGTGTCGACCATCCTTTCCGTAACCAATCAAACTGAGGTCATTCCAACAACTAATTTTACATCATTCTAATAGAACATATGTTAAAAGAGTTCGATATGCTGTAACTACGGCAAAAAGGGAGAAAAAAATAATCATATTTTGTGTCTCGTAGGGGATATGTCAGAAATACTGCAAGTAATCAATGTAATGTGAGGAAATAAGTCACCTTGACATTCATACGAAGCTCTTCCAGTTTGAGGAGAGAAATGTTATTGTTTATATTAGCGACTACACAGTTTATCATCAATTTTAGCTAAATAATATTAAAGAAACGCAAAGGTCAGGAAACACCGATTACGAGCACGTTATGCAATTATCGTATATTACATGCATTATCGGTGTGATATCAACATTCATACTGGTAAGTGAGCTCGTGATACGGTCACACTATTTTGATGGATCATTCACACGGACGATGATTGAAATACTTATGTACTAATATATTAATCAGGTGATTTCTTAGATGCTGCAAAACGATAAATTTATTTGAGTGGAGTTGAGTGGATTTCCTTTAAATGAATACAAAATGTCCGTTGGTATTTTCTATATGATAATATGTTTATAATATATACAAAATATAAAGAAATTAAAAATACTATGTTAATCATAAACTAAATTCTATATTCTGTTAGAACAATGTGTGCATGTAAATGAAGTCTGTTATAAATGTTTTTTTTATTGATTGTTTGAAAGAGTTGAATTGAGTAAAATAATCATTTTATTTACGTTTTCCAACCTAAATTTTATTTGTTTGCTGAAAACGATTAATATCTAGAAAGTAATTCAAAAAGAAGAAAAAGGGTATTACTATCTCAGACAGTGAGTCTTTAAACAAATAAATATTTTGTATCTCTATTTTCTATGAATTTACAGAATAAAGGAACAAACACAGAAAGTTAGGCGTTTTTTGGGAATGAACCATTTTTAAAAGTAAGACGATTATGTTTTTGAGTTTACAATAAAATAATGATAAATGTTATTTACTATATATTTTTCTTATTTATGTATTATGTTTAGTGACAAATAAACTATATGTATTGAACAAGTTTTTTTTCATTTCAACATATATAAAAAATAGCTTACATATATATATATATATATATTTATATAATATAAGTATATAATAAATGAATTTACCTAATGATAACTCGAACTTTGAATACAATCTGTTCCAAGAGATTTTTTGACTTTAAAATTTTTCGACTTTCAAAACAAGTTTTAAAATTTTGAAAGTTTCAAGTTTTTCTAACATCAAAGTATATGTATTTTAGGATTTTGACTAGAGCTTCTGATAAAATGTGTTAAACTGCATTATAAAAGAATTTTAGTCAGCTATAGAATATTCATATTCAAATTTGTAGTTGCATCGGGTATAATTTTGATATAATATTTATATTAAAAAACTAATAGTTTAACAGATTAAGCAAACTATTTTGAAATTCAGCAGGGATTTGTAAAGTAGAAGTAAATCTACAAGGGAAATAGTATTTTTTTTTGGGAGGAGAGGAAAACCTTGCATAGGGACCACGGTGGATTCGTGGTACTATGGGATTCTTACCCACTAAAAACCTCTCCTTTTCTTCGTCAGCATTCAGGTCCTGTTTGTTGATTCTGCGCTGAGATGTTGATTGTCTCACTTGATAGTCTGAATCAGTGTTGGCTTCCACTGCCATTTTCTTCGTTTTCTCTTTCCATTCTCCTCTGATCTTCTTCTTTAGTAGAGAGTACATCTGATACATACCTTACAATTACGTTCCATTTGTCGCTGCTTTTCAGCAGTTCACTGACAAAATTCTGCGGGGTTAGGATAACTCCTATGTAAGCTTCAGTTACATGCTTCCTCGCAGCCTGCAGCAACTGAATAACGTATGCTCCGGGCTGTCATTATCCTCGCAATACCAGCAATTCTCGTCCTCCTTCTTCTCGATGAAGTGGAGATATTTACTGAAACGTCCGTGTCCAGAAAGCGCCTGTATCAAATGGAAAGTTACTTCCCCGTGGTTTCTATTAATCCAGGGTTTGATTTTTGGGATGAGCCTTCTAGTCTAGGCTCCCTTCTCTGAAGTTTGCCATTTTTCCTGCCATCTTTGCCACAGCCTGTCTCTCGCATCCGTTTTGTTAGCGCCCGTTGACCTCTCTTTTCTCTCTGTGGCAAGTAGTTCTATAGGTGGCACTCCCGCTATTACTTGTACAGCATCTCTTGAGATTGTCCAGTATACACTGCATATCCTGATTGCACACTTTCGCAGGACAGTTTCTATAGCTTTTCACCGTCATGGCTTCTTCCCATACAGGAGCTGCGTGTAGCATTACCGATTACGCCACTGCCCCCAGCACTCTTTTCTTACTCGACTTCGGTCCTCTATTGTTTAGCATCAGCATACATATGGCTGTAGTGGTCTCCGTGGCACGTAAAGCTACTGTTCTGATGTGATGGAAAAAAATCAGGCTGCTATCGATATGGACCCCTAGATATTTGATAGTTTTCTTCGGTGTTATGTTTATGCCTGACATTGTGAACATTATTGTGCTGACTTTCCTTCTTCCGATCAGCAATACCGCTTCTGTTTTCTCCGGCGCTAGTTCCAGTCCTCTATCATCCATTCACTCTTGGATGTTATGAATGGCCAGATTTCCCTTTTCCATAAGTTCCTCCTCTGTTTTTGCCACAGCGACTACTGCAAGATCATCTGCATATCCGATGACTGTTACGCCTGTCGGCTGTTCTATCCTTAAGACACCGTCGTATGCTAGATTCCATAAGAGCCTTGCGACATTCCGCTGTTTATACGCATTTCAGCTACGCCCTGGGCGCTCAGAATCTTTATCGCGCGTTTGCTGAGGTAGCTTCTTATTATGTTGTACATGTATTTTGCAATTCCCATATTTGTTGTTGCTTCTATGATGGTTTTCCACTGTACAGGACACATAGCCTTCTGATGCTCCTGGACTCGGCTTTTGCCTTCTTTGCTATGTCAACAACCGCTTTGATGGCATCAATAGTGGATCTACCCTCTCGGAAGCCATACTGTCTTTCTGACAGGCCCCGCATATTGCCACTTCCTCCTTTAGCCGTTTCGATGAGACATATAGGTCTGTATGACGATGCATTTTCTGTAACCTTGCCGGTTTTTTTAAACAGTAATATATTCGCCCTTTTCCATCTCTCTGGAAACTTTCCCTCTGTTGCGGTGGTATTGAGCGCGCTCAGAACCGCTTTAGGGTGTTGTTTTGCCACCACCTTTGCCACTTCCGCGGGTATTCCGTCCGGACCAGGTGCTTTTCCGTTTATTAGGCGTATTCTGCGCCTCTGCCTCTGGATTCTTCGTCTAGCTGTTTGGCAGGCTTGTCTTAGCTCTGATATTTCTGCTGTCCACCAATACGCATGTTTCATGTGGTGGGTACTTGGTCTTCTTGGCATAGCAGCATCGCATGCTTTTATTACTGCTTCCATAAGGTGCTCGACATTTTCTGAGTCTGTCAAATTTTCCCGAAGCCGGAGTATATCTCCGTTGAGCTTTCATAGAGCCCATCCCTGTATACTTGTTGGTGTTAAGTTGATCACGTTGTTGCCAATTTCGAAAGCGATATAACGGTGATCGCTCATTGATTACTTGTCGACGAATCTCCAATCTATTATTTTCCTGGACATTCTAGGTGTGACGAGAGTTAGGTCAATTATTGATGCACTTACTCCTCTCTCACAGGTGGGATCTGTGCCTCTGTTCAGGACCATCAGATCCAGGCTAGCCGCCCATTCCGTCAGGATCGTGCCTCTAGCGGCTGTGCGCGTCTCTCCCCATTCTGGGATATATCTGTATTTGGGGATATATAGCAGGAGAAGAGCGAAAAATCGGGGTCCTTATCCAGGTGTATCCAAGGCCTCTACCTGACTCTTCTACAGCAATTTTGTTATTTATTATTTTAATAGCGGCGTCTCCTTCGATATCCAGGAACCATCCTGTCCTAGTTATGTTTTTATTTGGTTCACTGATCGCCAGAATATCGGCTTTTTTTTTCATATAGTAGTCCAATAGTAATCTTGATCACCAGTTAGTCGTAATAACTAGGAAAAACTCACATACCTTGATTAAATTGAAGATTTTCATAGATATAACCATTTAGATGCAATGTGCTACAAATATGCAAAAAAAGTATAGTCACACTTCAATAATATAATACATTTAATGTTATTTAAATTTCTATAAAAATAAAATAAAAATGCAATAATCAAATATTTACAATTAAAACATAAATATATAATAATATATACTTATTGCAGTTAACGGAATTTACGTTAATCGGTGTCAAAAATCAAATTTCCATTGAATCGCTGATTTTTTTTCATTACATATTCAATGAGATAATATAATTTATAAAATTCAATAATCTAAGTTCAATACAATGACCTTGTCTCTAAAACACAATACAAACTTCCGCTATAATTCCTGAATAAAGATAGCAAATAATAACACGGTAACGAGTGGACGTCAATGAGCTGATACTTTTTTACGAATACTCCATAGAAAGGAATCACACTTCTAATACGTGTTACTAAAATGAATATATGTTTTAAGTTATTCGTAAAACAATAACACATTTGTTAATTAGAAACATATAATTCATTCAAAACACTTTTTATGTACACTAATTAAAAAATATAATTTCCATTTATTTTTCGTGTCTGTCAAAACTAAAACTATGAACTCTAGGGTTAAGAAAGCAATACTGAAAAAATCATCCTTTTTTGCTTTATGAGGCACAATAGTATTTGTGTCATTTTTTTTTGTATTATTTTCCTGAACTCACACAAGAAATGCCTATTTTTTATTCAATTGATATTCCTATGAAAATTGAACAAAAAAATAATCTTAAGCACTTTATATCAATAAATTAACCTCATTAAGTGAACGTTTAAGATTAATTAATTGTAAACTAATTATCAAAGGTCCCGCAATATATTAGAGTATATTAACACGCAAAAGATCAATGTTTGGAACGAAGTATAAAAAATGTAAATGTCAATTAAAAGTAGACTCCGATTAGCTCGAGTACCCTCGAACTTGAACGTTATTATAAAATTCAACATTATAATTTTTAAAAAACATAAAACTAGATTACTCTAAGTCAATTGCTTCCAAAAACTCGACCATGATAAGGCATATTCAAGAAGGACGAATAGAATAGAGAGAACCAAAAGGAGGACTATCCCAGCTCAGATGGTTTAGATCAGAGGTTCCCAAACTTTTTTGTGTCGTAGACCCTTTGCCATGTTTTCGGTTTTGGGTAGACCCTCTACTTACCTGATATTATTTTTGTAAATTTATTATTTATAGTGGGACGTCTTTATAATTATTAAGATCTTTACTCTGAGACTGCACGTATGCTTGTAACAAGATGACACTGGTATATCATTATGTGCAGATTTTCAAGTTCAAAATGTATTGCGACCACAAAGCGAATGCCTACATCCTACAACTTACACAATTTTATAAACATATATATTTTTTTTTACTTCATATGTACTTTTATAAATAATGTATAT